TTTGTTGACTTGATTGGATTCTTGCAATGGGTGGAGTTCGAGCTTTGAGAAGATTGACAATCCAAACATGCAATGGAATAATTTGCAAGCGTCAAATCCAAATTGTTTTAGTGAGTTTAATGCCCTTGGATGCCAGGTCACCAGCAGTCAGATCGTGAAGGCCTTGCCCGAGATCTATCCTTGGCCGGTGACACATTGCACGCTGCCTCCCGTGGATGTGCCTTGGATGCCGAAGACTGAAGCAGACTGAAGCAGACTGAAGCAGACTGAAGCAGACTGAAGCAGACTGAAGCAGGTCATACTTTGGGGGACATGAAATGACATGAAGACATGAATGGTATCAATGGGGACATCAATGGGAATGTCATGGAATGTCTATCCATATTGAGATGTGGCATCTAATGGGGATACAATGGGATGCACGTTTTAACACGTGGGGATGGATCAAAACATTCAAAACTGATGAGAATTGAAAACCCAGCCCATTATGTATGATTATTATCATTATTATTATCATTATCATTATCATGATTAGCCCATACGTATCCATATGTATATTATGTAAATGTATATAACATGTATATAGAATTTGGCTTCTCCACCACTTTTTTCAGCAGTTGGTCCAGGGCAATCCAGCTCAGGTGAATGCTGCTGACGCTCCGCCCATCGAAGTAGCTTGGCGATAGCTGGGCCAGTTCAGCAGGGGGATGCATTGACAACATGTGAAACCTTGAGATTGCCTTCAGATCAGATACAATATCATTCAAAATCATACTTAATCCACTGCAGATTGTGATGATTTTCAATGACTTACCATATCTACCCATCATCTACCCATATCTTTCATATTCATTGATGATCCAAACCCTGTGCCTTGGTGCTTTGAAGATGCGTTGATCCACCGATCCAACATGGTTTCACGTCCGTGCCACGTGGCCCAAGGCGGTGCTCATCTTCTATTGGCCAAGTGACTGGGCCATGGAGCTGCAGGCAGTGGTGGATGACATGGTCCTTCAGAAACATCCTCAACCACTGCCATGAATACAACTGTGGGACAGTATTGGGAAGATGTTTGGAAAATCATGAGGCCAGAAAGTTGCTAGAACAAGCTAGAACTAGGTACAACTGGTTTCAAAGATGTTGCCGTTTCTGGTGCTGCCAGCTGTGACATTCCCATGGCCGTGTTCGGATGGCACCAAGCAGGTGGTGAGCGACGTCTTGGCGGGTGGCCGACCATTGGGTGTCGGAACGACTGGGACGAATGGGACGGGTGTCCAATGTGCGGAGTTGTGGTCTTCAAATCCCGACTTCCTGTGGCAGGCAGCGGGAGACCATGAGTCGAGGAAGTTGGGGATGACTGGATGGTTTTCTGCTGGTAACATCTTTCAACGAAAAACCATACGAGGATTGGTTCCATGTGCCAGACTTTTGATATCTTTTGATCAGATGGATTCTAGGTTTGATGCTGTGCAACATAGTAGTGTCTCTTGGCCGTTTTTACACTGCGGGCTTCATCAAAGTGGCTGGCAAACACCTAGGGTGTGGCGCACTTGCCCTTGTCAAAATGCAGGACACCTCAACTGCCCTCACGCCTCTAGTCGAATTTGAGCTGGTACGGTTTTGAAGAAACGCTCAGCGAGTGAGTTGACAGTTTCAAGTTTCAACTAGAATTTCAACAGCTACTAAACACGGTGATCAGAATTGTTTTACGATGTTTTTAATCCCTTTGTTTCAACAGCCCCAGCTCTGACACAGGCAGGCTATCCGGTGCCACGTTTTGGCACCGGTGCCTTTGTGGAGTGTCTCCAGGCAAGGAAGTGCTGCTGTGATGAGCCAACAAACCAATCTGGTCACATGATAGCATGTTGAGACGTTAGTAGCAAATACATACTGTACTAGTACCATGTCTCCCCTTTTCTAGGGCAATGATGATTCCGATTTGTTTATCATTTTATTCCATGGCTGTGTCAAAAAATGGTGCTGCCCAATGTCTTGATGAGGTGAGAATGCCCCCATCACCAGGATTTTTCACCTTTAAACTTGCACAATATATCCTGCAAATCATTGCAAAACCTCAGTGCATCAGGGTAGATTCTAATGTCCCATTTCAATTCTGATCTGTTTCTCCTTGATGAAGAACCACGAAGAATCCGATGGCCCGGGCGCACCAGGCGCTGTGGAAACCCTTTGGCCGCAGCCCACTGGAGGTTCAGGAAGGGCTGAGATGTTTGGATCACTGAACGGCAGAAGATCTGTTGCTGAACCATTGGATACAACTTGATATTCCCTCAATGCATCCCGCCGCTAATCCTGCCTTTGGGACATCAGGAGTGCGGCAAACCCTATGCTGTGCAATTCCAAGCGGCACGGAAGCTTTTGTCGCAGCTGGCCCAGCATGATGACTTTGAGAGGACCTGCACTTTTCGCTGCCATACTGTGGCCATACTGTGATTGATGGTTCAAGGTTGTCATGCCACAGGTCTCAGAATTGGCATCCAAGGTGAAAACAGCTTTCCAGTATAATTACATTACATTTCATTGAACATCTGCCCAGAGAAAGCTGGAAATTCGCAGCAGGATCTACATGATTGGCGACAATCCCGCTGCTGACGTGCGCGGTGCCAACAGTGCTGGAGATCCATGGCGATCGATCCTCGTGTGCACAGGCAAGCAACTTCGCCTTTACCCCATAATTACCATCAAATTCTCCCATAGTTGCCCACCCAACCCATGGTCAATGACTCCATGATTACCCAAAGCTACCAAAAGTGGAATGCTCATTCTGTCACCATCTGTCAACTCTGTGTTGCAGACACAACTTTTTATTCCGTTTATCCGTCTCGTCGTTGGGTTCCGGGCATGGTGCGGCAGGCGTTTATCAGGGTGGCGTTGGATCCAACGACAAAGAGGCGCACCGCTGGCTGAGACAACTTTGATGTTTGAGAGTTCACACCGCAAGTCCAAGCTTTAAAATGGTTGCTCAGCAGTCCTTTGTAACATATTTCTCCAATTTTCTCCATATTTCTCTGTTTTGAGTGGGTTTCCATAAACCCTCCTGGCCAGATCTTTCATTTTGAACGCATTATACACACAGGAGAGGGAGAGTTGTGTTATTCTCTCCATGTCCCATTGATTTTTGCACCCCGATGAAGACCAAACGACTGACAGGACCCGGCCTGGCGCGTGGAGGAACATCTGCCCGACGCGGTGGAGTCGATTCTGAGGATGTCCGGCTGAGTTGCCAAGTGTTTCGGAGCTAAGGTGGAAAGGTTTGTCGGTAAAGAAAGCCATCGGAAATCACGTGATCTCAACTTGGATAGTTTAAACCTGGGATCTACGGAAAGGCTTGGAAAATCTGAACTTGTGTGACCACATTGAGTGCGTTGAGACAGAGTTGCCAAAAGCAACATAGACAAAGGACCGTTTTGCAAAACATGGTCCAGTAGGCATTTTATTTAGGCCATTATAGTTGAGAGATAGGCAGTTTTGGTTGGACAAGAAAAATACAAACAAGCCAACACTTGGAGAAGGCCTGGACTCTTTCTTTGGAATACGCAAGTTTAGTTCCATTTGGTGATTTTCGTGGCATCCTGGATTCGACTTGGCAGCTACCAAACTGAGTTGCAGTGCCGCAGAATGCGGCAAGGTTCTAGCGATTGGTTTGACCAAAAAGTGTGCAACGGCAAGCGTGTTATTTAGAAGTTGGTGAATCGAAATTTGAAGACAGATTTTTGAGCGTAGCATTTGGAACTCTCCGAATTTCCTCTGCGAGGTGAACTGTTTTATGACTGTATTGCTGGCAATTTGCTGATGAATTTCCTGGAGAAGATGCGGTGATTTTGTTGGGCCTTATCAAGCTGCAATGTCTTTGACATATCCATGGTTTTCGCTCCCAATTTTCGGAGCTTGCTCGATCCGGCATTTGCATGTATAGACACCTATATAGGTCCGACCACAGTTGCAAGAGCTGCAAGCATTGAAGTACAAGTGAGGAATCTCAAAGTAAAGGTAGCTGTTCCCAGAAGTCTTCCTCAGGACCTGACATCCTGAAATAATCCACGTGACTCTTTTAGCACGTGCCCTTCGTTGCCATTGCTGTCATGTGCAGCTCGCTGGACTCAAGATTGTGGCTTGGCAAAAAAAACATGATGGAGGGAACGGTTGAATGGGACGTCCACAATTTTGATTTGTTTCTCCTTGTCTTTGCCTTGACTGTGATGTGCCTCTGACCTGTTTCGGACAATTGCCCAGAGCTGTATGCTTCACTTGTTTGTCGGGAATTTTGAATATGCGGCTGGTGCACAAAACAAACAATGTAACAATGTCATTCGCAAGAAGTACTGGGACGATCCTATCCCTGGTACAAGCATTATCTAGTATATGATGGTTTGGACCTGAGGTATATCCAATCGTATCATATCATACCCCAGTTAGAAGCGCTTGTTTTCCAATTCCATCCAATTCCTAACAATTTCCTAAGTTCAGGGACCATACGAACAGACGGGGGTTGACCCGGTCGATATCACAGGTGATGGTGACCCAGCATCTGCAGGTGCATCATCCAAGTCACTGCTTGAGTTGTCAGAATGGTCTTGCGATGCCCATACCTGGCCCATGCAGTTTACTAACACCAAATGATATGAGCCTTGATCATCCTCGAGCCTTGATTCTGATTCTGATGTCAGTTCGTGTCCTGTCATTTTTCTGGCAGTTCAGAAACTACCTATCCCACAGGTTTATCAGGCCATGCGTTCACATTCCAGTTCAGACCGTTCATGTATCTGTCTCCCGAGGTTGATGGGTTGATGCTTCACTTTCACATGTGCTGATCTCAGACTGCAGCGGATCACAAGGACCACTTCCAATCAGAAGAGTAAGGGATACTCGTGCTGTCAACAGGCACATTTTCAAGTACACATGCGGACACACATAATCTCCTTTTTTGGCGAAGTTGTGGCTTTCAAGCTCATCCCGGCGCAACGACCCGTGAGCGTCGCCCAATGTCGTCATCCGAAGCATCTGGACATTGGTACCTGAAGCTTCTCCAACAAGCTGAAGTCCCTGAGCATTTTCATCAGGGATCTATAGAGGCACTTCAGCAATTGGGCATTCAGAGTTTCCAAGCCTTAGTTGCAGCATTCACCTCCCGTCTCCACAATGATGTGGACTTCGGCTTGGGTGATTTGATGCTCCCTCCTTTCCACAGGAAGAAAATGGCCGAAATCTTGCGTCATCCGCCTTTGCCCATCACTCATGAGGAGATCATGGTGTGTGCTGAGCTTGTGCTCTAGCCTACAAGTCTTGCGGTGAAGACTCAGACGAGACTGCCAAGTTCAAGAAGGGACGTGCTCCTGATCTTTTCTTGCATGCCCAATGTCCACGAACAAAGCAAAAATACCTGTTTTGTGTGGTGGCCCCTTCAGGAAGATCTTGCTTTTTCGCAGCCTTTGCTGGAACGCATGCATCAGGTGATTGGACAACGAATCTGACCCTGATCCCTGTCTCTGGTGTGGGAGTTGGTGGCAAGGTGCACGGAGGATTCTGGGAGAGATGCGCTTGTATGAAATTCCCATTCATGCACAGAATGGTGGAGCACTTTGGCTGTGAGGCTATGATTTTCACCGGCCACTCCCTTGGGGGGGCTGTGAGCCATCTCTCTTGTTTGTGGGCCAAGCGCCAGGACGAGTTCAAGCAGTTGAAGCTTCCAATTTCTTCGGTGGCTTTTGCTGCGCCCTTGGCAGCCTGCGAAGAAGTTGCCAGAGATGTTGAGAGATTGGATTGGACTTCCCATTTCGTGAACATTGTGAATGGGGATGACCCAGTTCCTCGACTTCTCAACTTGGCAGAAAGCCTAGCTGAGTTGTGCAGGGCAGGGTCGGACCTATCCCGCAGCATTGATGCGTCTCCACAAGAGATCGGCAGCATCCTGAACTGCTTGACTGGCAAAGCAGGCCTCTCAACAGTCTTGTTGAATTTCTTGCCCTCTGCTCCAGTGGCTGATGCTTTGCAACGCTTGGCGATGTTGCCAGCTGCCAAGAGCATTGCCAAAGTGATTGACATCTACAAGCCGTTTGGAATCTATGTTTTCCTCCGAGCGCCTTCTGCTGGGCCGTACGAATGTACTTGGTCAAGAGGAATGGAGGTGCTTGAGGAACTTGGGCCAGCCAAGCTCTTGGACAAGAGCTTCAAAGGCAATTTGACAAACGACAACATACGGAGGCATGACGTTTCTGCCGTGGAGAACCTGCTGCTTTTGACTTGCCCTGTTTCTTGACACATACATTTAGAGCCATATTCCAATAATAAAAAAATGTTTCTGGGCCAGCTGTTTCAAAAACATTTGATGCAGGTTGAAGGTATGGCCTTGATTGTTCTTGGTTCATGTTCACATTGTGCGATGCCCAGTTGAGGTTGTTTCATCCCCTCGACCGAGGCTGACATCAAACAGGCGAAGAAGAGCAAAGACTTGGAAGTGGCGGTGCGCATCGCCACCACCAGGGAACGGCTCTGTTGGATCGGAGCATACTATGCCTTCGATGCTTGGCATGTTGAGAGGGGGGAAAATGATGGGGACCAACAAGGAATAGCAAGGATCAACCCTGTGAATTTTCCCAATTTTCTTGGGGTAATAGCAGTATGCAATCATTGAAAAAGTGCATGAATATCTGGATGCTCAACCAACATATCCAACATCAAGCAGCTCCTGGTCACATGAGCGTGCCGCCAGCGGGATCCAGCGGGATGAAATGAGGTCGGAGGCATGTCTTTGGCGCGGAGTATGTCGATGCGTTGGCGTGGGGTGCGGCTGCACTGGGACAATGCCTTTCTTCCGTTGAACATTGTGTTGCTTGGCACTGAGCATTAAACGGTCAATTCCAGTTTTATCCCTTTTCATTGGATTTGGGTTAGAGAAAATTGATGTGGGGTGAACCTTTGAGACCCTTATTTGGGAATCGCTGGTTTTCATCACGTTTGGTTTCTAAAACATTCTGAAACGATCCAAGATTCCTCCATACTACATCATCTACATATATCTACATCATCTACTCCCATTTTTGCCCAAGATTTCTTGACCCAGACCTCTTTCAATATCTTTCAATGCCAGGTTCTTCTGTATGCCTCCCTTTCTCTTCACCTATCAACTGGACCTGGCGCTACATCCCATGCGCCTCGGCGGCCTTGGTGGGCTGCAGCTGGGCGGCAAGGCCAACCGCATCGCGGAGGAGGCGAATCGGATCCGCCTGGGCAGGAAACATCACTGGTTCGGCTGCGAGTATCTGCCCTGGGCGCCTTGGTGGAAAGATGTGGAAAGTGGGATGATGGGATGATGGGATGATGGGATGGTGTGGAACAATGGCAAGGAAATGGGAGATGAATAGGGGACATGGACATGTCAGATCCAAAGGAGCAAACCAGGTCGCTTGGGTGGAGTAGTACACGGGTACACGGGTTCAGCGCAGTCTTTGTCGAATCTCCTTTTTCAGCATGGCTCGGCTGAGGTGGATGACCAGACGCTTTGGATCCACAAACCCATCTGTTTGCCGCTGACCTTAGAAGCAGCCTATCACCGCGAACGGGCTGCATCCCTCAGGGCACAACGTGCCAAGGGGTTGGAGGCTGAAGCGGATTGGGCCTACTTCATGCCACGCTGTGAGACCTGAAGTCCGACTGCAAGGTGGAACTTGATATATTTTGATATCCGACATCCTATGGCATCCTGATCAAGATTCTGAAGGAATGACTTGACTCTGGGTGACTTGGAGGTTTGCTAAAGTTGCCTTTTGATGTGTTTTTCACCATCAAACTTCCCATCATATATTTCAACCTCAGCTTACATGTCGTAAATGGATGATTTTTTCTTCATCGCTGTGGACAACTGGCACCGCAACCAGGCACGATGCATCAGCTCCCTACATGGCAATGCAGCACACATCCTGCACCGTTGATGATCTCCGAGATGTACCTGGTATCAGCGGTAGCCATGCTTATCATGGCTACCAAGATGTTGCGATGACGAATCGTGTGCACCTGCCGACGAAAAAAGCGATGAGATGCGATGAGTGTTGAAAGATTTGAAAGGGAACTTGAGGATTCCAATGTCCATTGATACTGGTACTTCTGATGCATTATCAGCCATTCTTGGTGAACATTCCAGATCCACATGTTATGGAAACGTCTTATTTGGCGGAGATCTGCTGGAACTTTTTGCTGCACCGACTTGGTCTTGCAGTGGGTTCTATCCCATGTTCAGCCACTGGGCACTGGGCAGCTGTTTGTATCAAGGGAGATGTCAGCATCAACACATAGCAACATGTGCGGGATTGGTCGACCAGATCATAGGTGCTCCAGCAGTAGTCATTGATGGGGTCGCCCCCTTGGGAGGTCCCCAACAGTTGGGGGTTTCCCGCACAGAGAAAGGTACCTTCCTGACAGGTTTCCAGCCAAATGGATGAACCCCCAATTGGGAAATTGAGGCCCACGATCCATGGTCTCCCCTGTGGTTTCCAATTGGAGCATTGGAATTGACATCCAAGATGCAATTGATGACATCGTTTCTGCGGTGAGTCCTTGTTTCAACTACCAGTGGCCACAGAACATCTCCATTTTCAAGGAGAGAAATCAATCAGATTCCATGGGAGAATGGATCTCCACCAACTATGGGACAGACCTGTAAGGTTTATCCACCATTTGCTTTGAAGTGCATTCATAAGATCAACTGTGGCTGTGCTCCAGCTGTGCAATGGCCACCGGCCAGAAGCTGAGGGAAGCAGAGTCGCAACCACTAGAAATATTTGGGTTTTATGTAGAGTTTTCCCAGTTGTTTGCCAGATTTCTTGTGCTGTTGTCCTCCAAATCACATCCAAATGAAGCGAAAACGTTGAACCACTTGATCCCTACCACAACTTTGAACCAACTTCTGGTAGAAGGCCTTGAGATTGCTTTTTCGAAATTAAAGCGGACAAGACAAATGAATGCGACATCGACTTCGTTGTTGCAACAACCCACAACATCCAGTTCACACCCCCCAAGATGTATTGTTCCATCTTATCTTTATGATGATACTTATATAACTTATATCTGATTATATGTTTTTCCATTTATATCATTTATATCTAGCATAATATTACTATTACCATCATATAACATCCATGAACTTGCTATGGTGAGGTCTCAGTCTCTTCGTGCAGTACCCCAACCGCGAAGCCGTTTTGCGGGAGCTGCAGCTGCCTCCCTCCCTGGCGGAGCTGCGGAACGCCTTGGAGGTGGGGATCAGTCGTTATCCAACCAGTATGGGATAGCCATGGTTAAGCCATGGCCCATAGAAATAGATGGTTTACCGTTCTTAAACATGGTGATTTTCCATGGCGAACTGTTAAATAACCAATAGTAACCAGATGGTAATTCATGGATTTTAATGGGAGAATATACCTTTGGGATGTTTTGGGATGTTTTTTTTTAATGAGTTGGGACGATAGTTGTGGTAACCCAAATTGATGAAGCATTTTGAAGCGGTTGAGTTGTTGAATTGATGATTGTTTATGGGTTAGTCATGGCTCATGAACGGCACATTGATCCAACTTTGCCTTCCCTAAAGTACCGCACCACATCTGTGGTTGTCTAAGTCGTTTTTTCCTTCCAGTTCCTGGAGTTGGTTTCATGGTTTAACCAGCAAGGAATTACCAGACGCACCCAATGGTGAATGATAATTTCCCAGCGTCATGTTGTACTAATGACTGTGAATTTCAATTATATAACACTACTACCATAAAACAAACAATGAATTCCCAACAAAGAAGTTTATGATATGGTGGGACTCTATTCACATATTGGTGAAGGGGCTTGAGATGTTCTGGATTCCAATCAATTCCCAACCCGCCAGGTGCTGGATGACCAGCAACTTCAGTTGCAGCAGAATGGCAAGTACTGTCAGGCAGTGCTTATGGGGATGGATCTGAAGTGACACAACTGGTACCACGTTTATCCATGTTTCATTGGGAGAATAGCATGGAATAACTTGGGATAACATGCAAACATCTGGAATTACTTGGAACAATCAGGTGGGTGACACTACCAGCTTTCCCAGTTTCATAGGTTTTTTGTGCCTTCGACTGCCAAGGTGGAGAGTGTGGAGCAGATTTACGATGGCACCATGCTTGGTGACCGTGCAGCTGAGATGTTGAAGAGCAGTCTTGATTCTACCATATCTATCTTGATTGCAATGCAGAATGATAGACTTACTTCCAAATCTTCCAAAATACATCAGCAGACATTTATTTAAACATATATATATATAGGGGTATGATCGGTATGATGTATGAAATCAGGAAGAAAATGGAAGAAACCATTTTGCGACATCGATTTGAGAAGCGTTTGCGATGAGGTGCATGCTTGAAAGTCCTGGTGCCCCGACGGCGCATCTTTGTGTCGATGGATGGCCGAGTGAGGTCCCAGCGGGCCGTGGCGCCGTGGCGCCGTGGCGCCGTGACCGTGCTGGGGAGTTGGGTTGGTCCATCTAAGTTTGGGTTTTAAACATTTTAGATTGGGAGATGAATCTAATATGATCTAAATCTAATTAATTATATACAATTCAATATGTGTTTTGAGACTTGAAGTTTATTTTGACTTGAAGGATTGTAAGATGGATTCTAAGATACACCTGGATTGGTGAGAGGTTGAACCTACTCTCTGCGGCATGACTTGGAGCTCATTTGGAGCTCCTGGTTTCTTAGATTTCTCGGTGTTGGGCCAGACAGATCAGGGCCGCAGTTTCAGAAACGAAGCGTTCCGTGCTAAATCCTGTCCCAAGTGACATAGATTGTGCGAGTGGATAATTTGATTTGACGCAAATGACCAGCGACCACACTGACCAAACCCCAAGTAAGTTGATTCTCATCAATTTTTGAATTGATAATATATATAATATGATAAGATATCATCGTTTATCATCCAGATCAATTATTTTATGATCATCACTGGCTCCCTCGGTGGGCGAATTCATGAGATTCACCACGAAATCACCACGGTCCCCGCCAGGGCCCTGTGCGACCCCCCTGGCAGGCCTGTGGTGTGGTATCCTGGAGCAACTCCCGAGCAAATCGAGAACACTGTGGTGAAGGCACTGTGCTACGAGTACAAGCCGCACGAGTCCTATGATTTTTTTTCCAAAAAATCCAAAAGCTGGTTGGATTAGGATTTCCCATATGAGTCACGGTGAAAATGGTTGACCATTTAGAAGTGCAGGAGCTTTTTTTGTCAGAGATGTGCACGAAACACTGTGAAGCGATAACCAAGCAAATACTTATGCACATTCACAGGCAAAACCGATGCGAGAATTCAACCTGTGGTGCCCTGTTTCCCATATCATTTGGCATCGAACTCGCTCGCTCGCTCTCTTTCTTTCGTTCGTTCTTTTTTTTTGCTTTCTTTCTCTCTCTCTCTCTGTTTCTCTCTTTCTCTCTCTCACTCTGTCGTTTTTGTGGCAAATTTCAAATTTCTTTCGAACAATGTCATATGTTAACTTAGCGATAACCATTTGTTGCAGTCGGTTCCCTGGCCAAGCCATAGAGCCATTTCCACAACTTTAGAAAGGAATAAAGGACATAAATGCAAAATGAAAGGAACATGCATGCAAATGAAAGGAAGATGAAAGGACATGAATGCACATTGGAATGAACATGAAAGGAATATGAAAGGAAAATCAAGGGAAATGAATACACATGACCGGAACATGAAAGGAACATGACAGGAAATGAATGCAACATGAAAGGAATATGCATGCAAATGAAAGGAACATGAAGGAAAATGCATGCAAATGAATGCTAAATGAAAGGAACATGAAGTGTTGCCGAAGCACCTGAAACCAAAAAACAACTCCTCGATCCATTTCCGAGCCTGTTTAGGAATGGATTTGGGCTTCATGTTGGATCTCGAATATGCTGATTTCCACGAAACCCTGGAAAGCGATAGGGCCCCCCCAAAAGCGATAACCAGAATAACAATAGCAACTACTCACATGTAAAGGATGTTGATGGGAGCTCATATGTTGGTTCAATATGTTCAATCCAAGAATCCTGGCGAAACACTTGTAGTCCCCAAATATATCCAAATATACTATAATTACTTTTTATATCTCTTTATTATATACCATATTATATACCAAATTATAAGAATTACTTTAGTGTCTATTACCATATTATATTATATACTAAATTACATTCTATTATATTATTATTATATACCATATTATATTAATTATACTATTCTGGTACTTCTTTGGTGTCCGAATGTCTAGGCGTGCGGCCTGGCTCCGGGCTCCTCAGTGGAGTTCCTGGACGGCGACACTGCGGTGGTCCTTTGGCGCAGAACACGTGGAAAAAAAACCATGGGGTGACGAATTGTGACGGATGTGAAGCAAAAATAACTGAAAAACCCATGAAAAACCACACTAAACCTATGAAATACATTGAGATACATTGAGATACCACATGTTGTCCTGATTTCCATGTTTTGTTCCGGAAATTGTGGCGATGCGCCTCCAAATTTCCTCAACGCGAGGTGATCTCACCAACGATTCCCAATGACACCCACCTGACGGCCCGGCGACTTACTGCAGGGGATGGATCAAACTTTACATCCCAAGTAGAGAAAAATCTGGGGAAAATGCTTGTTGATTGGAGGTTTTCATGAAGTAAATGAATCAAAATGATCTATTTCATGACTCCATGGCAATGTTTCCTGTGATTCAGTGGCTTTGTGAGGTGGTACCATTGGGTCAGCGGAATGGTTCAAGGACCGGGGTGTATCCTGTCATTGTGTGGCGGATAGTCATTGATAGTTGTTGATGTTTGATTTTCCACCAATGACAATGAGTTTCAACTGTTCAATTTCATGTCAACTACCGGCCCTTCCGATATTCTATGCGCCTTCTAGGCAGTTCCCAAACAATGTCCCTTGAACATTGAGTCAAAACTGGGTTCAGTCCCTGCCAGAAAGGTATGTCTCCATTCGTTCCGTTGTTTTGAGCTTGCTGCATATATGGAACCATCCAGATTTTGAGGGTTTTGTCACATTGCAGCAATTATTTTCAGGAAACTTTTGCATGAGACTCACCAATTGGGATAACAAAGGTTTTGTCAAAGTTCCCCCTTCAAATAAACCTTTCCCCCAGAAAGTAAAAATGTTCCCCCAAATACTAAGCGCAGTGGTGTGCTTTTACCTTGTTTTTTTCTAAATAACTATATTTAGATCATGATCCCAACTTGATCCATGCCTGAGCCCAGGACAGAGAGGGCCTCGCCAGCGGAGCGGCAGGCTTCGCCTAAGCGAGGAGAGAGCTTGGAAAGCCCAGGGCCGATCCATTCGGGTCAGATGTAGTTGTTGTTCCAAGTTCCAGCATGGAAAAACTCAAAATTCAACCAACAACTGTTGATTTTGGTGGGGAACTAAAGATTCATTGATTTTGGTATAGGAAGACATTCCAAATCTGAAGCTCAAGGATGGTGGACTGATTTGGCACTGGCCTGTCGTTCTGAGGTCCCCGACGAGATGTGTTGAGCAGTCGGCGCGTGACTGTCAGGGTGCCCAGTGGATTACTATCCATTTTTTCATTGGAGACTACTACTGTCCACATTTATAAAAACTATGTTGATCTTTGGATATGCGCATGTATGAGCAGAATTATTGGTAATTGCCTAGTTTATATTTGGGTTATATATATATATACGGTTATCATTGGATCTCATTTTTTTCCATCTTTTTTTACACCATCATTGGATTTCATCATTGGCACCTGATGTGAACCGAGGCTTCTGCCCCCGCTAGGAACACGCTGCCAAGTCGTGGTGTGGGAACTGCCAGTGGAGGCGGGGGGGTAAATGGGGCATTTTTTTGGTGAATTTATGTTTTTTTTTTTTATTGCATGCCTTCCATGGAATATGTATGTTGTGTAGATGTGATGGGAAAAACGTTGTATAAACATTGGGATCACTTTAATTGTTTGAAGTAACACCCCATCTATTTATGGTTACACTGTACACTCCCATTTTTTTCATTTTTTTTTGTCGTGTAGCCACCCTCATGGATTCCTGTAGCCTTGGTGGCTGCACCAGGCTATCCCAAACGCTCCACCCCAGGACATCCAGGCAAGGGATTGTTTACTTTCTAGCTGGTGATGTCGCCTTTGGATGACCAAAATGATGTGAGGCCCAGTTGTACCACGTGCTCAGCGGGAGGCACTTCAGTGTTGTCGAATGGAGGTATTTTGTCACCCACTTGCGATTTTTCCAAGGACCTAGTTTTTTCGATGCCTATCCCACACGCTTAGTAGGGAATATGATGGGATATCATTGGACATTTGTGTCATACCCCCATTCATATCCCCATCATGCGATTGTTGAACCATTTTTGATGCCACTTATGCTCAGTTGCGCCTTTCTCCTTGGCGTTTGCGAGGCAACAGCGCCTGGTAGTGCATCAGGCTGGGGGCGTTCCAAAGGATCAGACAGGAGGATGACGGATGACTTCCATCCAATATCATTGCCAGTTACTGCCAAAATGGTTTTGTCATGTTTTGTCTGAACATGGTTAGTAATGTTAATATAGCCCCAAATGTCACGCGGTGGGCAGTGGATTCAGGGGTATCTCATTTTCAGTCAAATATGACACTTAGTGATATATGTCCATGACATATCACTTATATATCCATTAGAATGTGTCACTTCTAAATTCTAATGGATATATAAGTGATATGTAATGTATCATGGACTAATGATATGTAATGATATGTAATGATATGTAAGTTCATCTCACTCCCTTTTTTACCACATGTTTCATGTGGCGTCACATCACTGGAGGCACTTTGGCTGGCCGTGGCACCTCGCTGGCGCGGGGTGCCGCCTCGCTCGCATCCTTGAAGACGGGGGTTGCCGTTGCCGTTGGGGTTGGGCTGTGAAAGTCATTGGAAAATCCGAGTTTCTGGTAACATGATTTTCCATATAATTCCACATATATATATATATCATATCTGAAAATTATATCATATATCTGAATTATAACTATTTATATATATATATATATACATATATATATATATTATAAATAGTGATATATCATATATATGATATCATTTTCAGGTATAAAAAACAACGGGACGGGGTGATTCTTGGAACATCTTGGAACTGTTCCGGTAACAGTGGCTTGGTCATGTTGGTCCACTGTTCGACATGGCGATGCCGAACTGCAGGGTTGGTCACAAGATACTGAAGTACCTTCTTGGTTCCCTTTGGTTTCTTGTGAACAGATTTGGGGAATGCCCAACGATGGACATCGATGGACACCTTCGTTGGTCTTTCCTGCCCTCCTGTCGCAGGACAGTGCCCTCGGCAGCCAGTTTGCAGCTTAGTCAGGATGTTGAGGATAAATCCACCAGATTCAGCCAACGTTAGATTCAGCTGCCAAGTAACGTTGGCTCAAAGTTGTTGGCTCAAATGTTTTTGTGAAGAGTCAAATGATACACTATGCTGTTGGATAACTACACACCGAAAGCCTATCATTTTTCAGCGCAATTGACTGATGTCCAAAGGATAGATTCATTTTCTATCCCATCATTTTTCCCAGGATTAAGTATAACATTTCCCGTATCATATGCGTTTTTTGGGAATCTCAGACTCAATTGATAGCCCTAATGATACTATCATCTATAATCATAGCCCTTTATTTTTGGATATCAACTAATACACTATCATATTCCATAGTAATGTGGTTAAAAGAATGTCAATGTCATAAACCATCCCCCAGTCATCACCATGTATAGGTGCTATGTTTACCAGTCCTGGGTGGTAAAAATGGCGATTCACCCAGGTGATTTGCAAGCGCAGCCTCCAAAGGTGTCGGCACCAGAGGAGTTTGGGGCCCGAGTCTGGGCGCGGAGTCTGGGCAGATCTGGTGAAAAAATGGTGAGGACCTGGTAAAATGTGGAAAATAACAGAGAAAAATACCGGATTCCTATTTATTTCTGAATTAAATAAACATACACAGATTGCAGATTTATACAGATTTCAGAATCCATGTATTCCAGAACTCAGCAAAAGCAAAAATGAAGGAGTTACAAAAAAACTTGGTCTTCCAAAATCTATCAGATCCCTCGGCTGATCGCTGGGCAATTTTTCTTCCAGGCACTGCGTCCACATCTTGGCGGGTCACAACGGCTTCGTGCAGTGCCTCTGCACCGTGGGCGACGTGCTCTTCACGGGCTCCCAGGATTGTAACATCATGATCTGGGACCTGAACAACTTGCAGGTGGGGATGGGTGTGGGATGAAATGGATGGGGAAGATGTGAATGGGTTGAAGTTTTGGGATGAAGGTAGCTTTTTGATCATTTTTTGATGATTGCAGCTGAAAACAGTGCTGAGCGATGCTGAGCGTTTTGTGCAGGTGGGGATGGGCCCTTGATGACTCACCGATCGGCGTTTCCAAATTGAATCGTCCAATGACTGGTAGAAGCAAACCTTGAATTCTGGATAGTGTATCAAGGATTGGTAATATATGAACATATATTATGTACCTCGGATTATAAGAGAGATAGTTGATCATAAATAAGTATTGATCATATACCTTGAACTGGTTTGAATTGCTGAATACCTTGGATTCAGCTCCCATTGACGCAGTACATTGGCACGTTGCCGGGCCATCGCGGATTTGTGAAGTGCATGGCAGACGGGAAGCTCAGTGATGGCAGCTGAAGCCTTGTGATTTTTGTTTAATTTCATGCGTGGGAGATAGGTCAGATAGGTTTGACACCTAGTTTAATGACAATATGGGAACTGTATTCATAATCAGTTGGAATTAGAGTAAGTATTTTGTGGAATCTCCTGGTCACCTGGGGTTTGATTCATCCTGGACATTGTGTTGGACGTGAGCTGATTCTGCAACGGCGACATGGAATTGAACAATGAATATAATGAATTTCATGAAGAATACAATTCCCAAATGGCTTTCCCCCCAAGAACCACCCATGGTGACGTGAATGGCTTGCAGCCACTGCATACGCAGTTGACAAAGCCTGAGGCCAGCCTGTCGAGGAAGATGCTGTGCTCTGGTTCTCAGGAGTTTTTTTTCCTGGGGTTCACGGTTCACGGATGGCATTCTAGTGACCAATGACCATCACTGTGTCAGCCGCAAAAGGAGAAGAAATTTGGACAAAGACACGATGCAGCTAGTGAAAAGGCAACCCAAACTCAATCATTTCACTCCCATCTCTCCGGAGCAACATTTCAACAAGAGATTTGTTCAACATATTTTACCAATGTTTCACAATTTTTCATCCATGTTTACCAATTTTCACCCGTTTTTACCAATTTTTACCGCTATATCCAGATGCAGTGACTTGATGATTTTGACATATCACATTTGATGACGCCTCTGGAGGACAAGACCATCAAGATCTGGAGCCTGGAAACCTTTTCCTCCACCAAGACGCTCTATGGCCACACCAGTACCTTGCTACGGATGTGACTCCCAGCGATATGGGGCAGTTAAGCCACCAACATGGGGAGTTCACCTAGAAATATGGCGAAAAATCAACCAACGGCCCTGAGGTGAGGTGAACAGCCTGGTTCTCTTTGAAGGTGCGCCCGTTGTGAGTCGATGGGATCCGCTGGCAATTCCCTGGTTGATGTTTCAAGTAGTTCTTCAGACTTATCCATTCCACATTCCATTCCTCATTTGGATGTTTTTCTAATGAAACTGTTGGTGACCAGAATATTTTCACCCGATTCTGCGGTTGATGTCTTTCCCTTTTCTTGCATTTTCTTGCTATATAGTTGTAGACTGGGATGAAGGGAACAATTGAAACCAGAAGACACCACCTTTTATAACACCAGGATTTCAACTGTAAAGAAATCCCTTGAGCCAGCCCAATCTTTGAAACCACCTCCTGGACTAGGTTCAGAAGTCCTGGTGTCTGGTGGAGAGGACGTCGATGCCACTGATGCCATTGAAGTTGTGGATTTTTATCAATGAGCATGCAGAGTTCCCTATTCAGAAGGGGATAACAGGGCTATGACCTTGGACCTTGGACAACTTTCTTCATCATCTTTGAAGAAAGGATGACCATATTCATATTCATATTCAGACCCCTACAATATGCACCTGACAAGACACGGAATAGTTCAACTGATTGGAGCATCCTCTGATTCTGCGATGGGCTCGAACATGGAGTGGCTGGTGCAATCAGAGAGCATCAAGAGTTCTACGAACTCGACCGGAAAGTACATTCCGCCAGTCACCAGGAAAACTCATGAGAAAACTGACACAGAACGGATGATGTACTTCTATACGTTCATATAATTTCTATATATATATATATTCTACAAGGTAAACTTAGTAAATCATAGAACTCATCAGTTAGTTGTTGGATGCTGTTCTTCAGCTCTGATGGTGCGACGTTGCTGCGTCTGGAGCTCAGTCGTGGGCCAAGAGGAGGTCCAAATTGAGAAAATAATTTTCCCAATGAACAACTTGTTATTTGATGTATGGTGGTATGGGTGGTATTGATGGTAATAGAAAATCAGAGACAATTTTTGGTGATATGGGTGGTAATTTGATGGTAATTGCCAAGGATATTTGAACTGCACGATTTTCAGAGACACCAAAAATCCTTGAAATTGATGATACCATACGCCTTGCCATTGCCCATCTCAGCCCATCTCAGCCCATCTCAGCCCATCTCAGCCCATCTCAGCCCTTCCATATTTGGACTCCAGCCATGGCACGAACCAAGCAGACAGCCTTCAAACGTCCTGCGCCGCTTGGACGCGGTGGAATCTATTGGGGCTGAAAGTTAACAGTTAACAAAAAGGATGGTGGGAGTTTGGATCATGGAAAATTGGGATAAACATTTACCATATTTTACCATTATAAAACTCCATTATTGGTGGGAGTTCATTATTGGCTTCATTTTTTTTGCCATCAAAATGGGAACGATGCATGAACTGACCCAATACCCATCTCGGCATTCGCTGGGTGCCCTGGAAGGGTGCAACCTGTGGAGCTGGCGAAGTTGGGGTTGGGTCAAGGCAATTTTCATGCGGAGCAAAATGATCAATCATGGGATTTTGATGGATTTTGGGCTTTTGGGGTTCCCAATTCCAAGACAAGCTTCTGATCATTCCATATTATTCCTAACATTAGCCACTTCTGTTCACTAAGGACATTCTGGCAATTCCTCCACATCTATTTATACATCTATTATGTTGCACAATGACATCTCAGATGGAAAATCCGTATTATCCCCCCCCTGGAGCACGCTTGAAGCCCCGAGGCCCACCTTCGGCGGAGCCGCCTTCGGCGCAGCCGCCTTCGGTGCACCGGCCTTCGGCGCCCCGGCGCCGCGCGCGCGGTCGCGGTCGCCGCATGGGGCTGAGTGCCCTGGATCGACTACACTTTGTGATGATTTCATTGAAACATGAACAAAATGTAGTTTAATTAATATATTGAACTATCCCCATAAACAAAAGATATTCCCAGACATGGAACAAACGTGGATCCCAATATAAACTATCTCAGTATCCTATCAACTGGCATTTCAATAGCTGTTTGCCAAAGAATTGTTCTTTGTTTTATATATCCGTTAAACAGCAGCAGGAGTCTGCTGGAGTTGCTTCGCTTTGAAATGAGATCCCATGGGTTTCCAGCAAGAAATGAGGCTTTCGACCAACAGTGGTGGGGTGTTTAAGCAACTATTGGTTGAAATAATGATTACAAACGGCTGCTAGTCTGCTAGCAGAAAAACATAACATACAACATATGCAGAATGTCTTTTAGCGAAACTAGTGGAATAAATGAGAGTAGATGGCTATGTGTTGGGTTCAAACCACTCAAGTTTTATATGTCGGGTATTGTATGATACAAGAGAAAACAACATATCACAATAATTAATATTAATACATATTACAAATACATATTAATACATATATCCATGTGGTAGATCTCAAGAAACCGGCTACATTTAGACCTGAGATTTTGCTCCTCTGAGATGAAAATCCGGAGATCCTTTGGGAACAATCATGGATACATCTACAAACAAATATACCAAATTAAGTTGGATTTTGAACATTTAGTATAGTTTAGTATATATAGTTGAGTTGGATTTTGTAGTAACAAAACCCAAATTCAGGGTTTATCTGTTGTCATCTTGATCTCAACCTGCCCTTGAGGCAAGAGACCAATGCGGCGACAGACGCAGCCGGAGCGGAGCAGAACAAGGTGTATAGTGTATATGATGAAAGATCCAAAAAACACATATACATCCATCCATCTGCATGTCATCCCTTATTTGTGTGGTGAAATTGAGTCATGTGGAGATCAACAAGCCATTTGGGTCATTTCCCATCATTTTCCTATCAAGATGGCCATGTTGCACTAGGCTGCAGCCCTGATGCGAGAGAAGCTGAAGGCTGAACCCGTGGTAGCCCCTTGGCCGATTGAGTTCAAACTTATAGAAGAAATGGGGTTTTCATGAAGAGTTAAGCAGAAGAAATTGATCATATAACATTGAACTAGTTTTGCACTGTATTGCTATTTTGATTAAGGTGAACAATAATCCATTTGCTACTTTGTTAGTTATCTATATCAATATTATACCAGGATTTGACTTAATTAACACGATAGCACTTGGATTCTTGTTCACGGTCGACCAAGTGGATTGTAGTGAAAATTGACACTGGGATGACCCATGTCGATCCTCTCTTCTCAAAGTGAAATTCAGCCAGACTCAAATGGATATATACTGAGTTTATATTAAGTGGAACAACAAGAAGGGTCCCAGTTTGGAGGTTCCATAGAAACTTGACAGGCTGTGAACCAGCTGTAGGTCCCGACCACTGAACCCACTGGCATGGGCAGTTATCCTAACATCCTGGTTACCATCCGCAAAACAAAATGGAGGTACCAGAAAGGACCAGGTGAACAGTTAGAAAAAAGCACATTGAAACCTTATTCCATATATGGATAGTTGGTATATATTCCATATATTCCATTGTGCTGAAATCCATATGTTCGTTGTTGATCCACCTCTTTCACATCGCTGAGGTGAAGACGATGCGCCCGGGGGATGGAACGACCTTTCCCAAGGAAGGTGATCAACTCGTAATGTGCTTGGCCGCGATTCAGTGAGATCATCAGGGATGGAGGTTTTATAGCGTGAAAGGCTGTGGTTTCATGCTGGAGATTCAACATATTCGACTTGTTGGAAGCTGCATTCCACAGAGGTATTGATTGAATTTCACCCTGTATTTTCTGTTGTGGAAAGCTGAGCTTGGGATACCATGGGTGGTTCAATCCATTTTTTGGCGACATCCCAGCTGGACATATTCAGCTCACCCTCAGTAGATTAGTGTTGATGCTTCCAGCGGGATGATCATCCATTATCCCATTATATCATCATCAATACCAATCCCACTTTGATAAGCCACGTTTCAGAAAACCCTGTATATTTCGCATATTTTCCCAGTACAATCCCAATTTATCACCATCAATTCTCCATTCCCAGCCATTCCCAGATGTTTTGCCTCGTCCGAGGCACTTCTCGGGCACCGTGCTGAAAGAAGGTCGGCAACCGCCGTCCTTCGACTCCAGCTGGACCCGGCAGAAGCCTTTCAGCTTCAGGTGGGAGGTTTGGTTTAGAATACCTTGCGGTAGAAAAACCCATCCGTTGATGATTTTCTTATATCAAATCTCCAGTTCGGGGATTTTTCGGATGCCACGTTTGATTACCAGAATCCAATTTGAAGTACCTCATTTTCCTTTTCGGCGGCTGAAGCATTCTCCAAGAGGGATAGAACCTGATAAACATTGATAAACTCCATGGTTTAATATGGTTTTTCCCAATATTTGCTGATATCATCAGATATCATCCAGTTGGCACTGAATGGTCTGCATGGTTTCCAGCGTGAATTGTGGCGCCAGGATCGGTACCGGGGAAGTGATCAAGGGCTGGGACGAAGGACTTCTGCGAATGTCACAAGGAGAGAAGGCCACGCTGGGCGTCAGATCGGACTATGCCTATGGCGCCTTGCCCTGTCGTTGCTTGGGATATCTTGGGATATGGGGAGCTGATACTTGGAATCTTGGGGAAGCAAGGGATGTAGGATGATTTTTTGGGACGAAAAAAGGCAAGAGTTCTTTTTTTTGGGGGTGCTGGTTCCATCCCTTGGAGTTTGCGGCTCGCAGAATAGAAGAATCAAGGCTAGTAGTTCATAGAGAATGGAGATCAATATTAATTCAATATTTCTATGTCTGCATGTCTGCATGAATGTGGAAGTTCTCTGGTTTTTGTCGTTTTTTTGTTCATTTTTCATTGATTTTACTGGGATGATCCGGGTATGTTGACCGAGGAAAGGCTGGTGCTGGGTGCATCCCACCGTACTCCGACTTGCGCCTTGGAACATCTCAACATCTCAAGGGGATGTCTAAGTCGGCCAAAAATGGACAAAGATGGCACATGGCATATAAATAAATATATCATATAAAGGAGATAGTTGATGATAGTTGATGATAGTTGTCATTTAGCCAACTTGATTTTGGGATATGGATTGACATTTTCAAGTTCAGCAGAAACATTCTCCGACTTTTTGCTGTTTCCAGGCAGCAGCGTATCACCGGTCGGTGCTCTGAGGTGCTACGAGGTTGAACTGCTGAAGGTGGGATGAAGTCTACACAGAAAGCCATCAGATGAAACCGGTGGCACGAGGTATTTTGGACAAGAAGAAGTGAAAAAGATCAAAATGAAGTGAAAGGTTTTTAGGATGTATCATATATAAATTCATTTGACATCATTTGACCATCACCGACAAGCATGTTCCAACTGCTTGTTAACATCTTTGAAGTCGTTTCAGTTGGCCTTGAACTCACCATTGGTTTCGCGTACCAGACGTCTTGCTGTACAGGGTCATCGTTTTGGGTACCGCGCGTCTTCGGCGGCGTGCAACACGCAACCGCTGGCGCCGGTCTCCAGCGCGATGTGTTTGGCGCGGAAAAAAATGGCAACGCCGGGCCGCAGGAGCTGATGCAAAGGTTGGTGTGAAAATTTTAGGTCTCAAAAATCATCGAACAATCCCCTGTTGTGTGACACAATTTTCAGTTTTTTTATCTGGGTATCTCAAAATATTTCAAAATACCTCATTAAAATATTTCAAAAATTGGAACCCCCAACAACTGATGGTTTTGAATGTCATTTCCACCATTTTGTCCAAGGTATGCCTTGAAGGCCATAAAAATCTTGGAGCCGAGGCCTGCCACCGATGGCGCCATGCTGACATCGCGAGAAAACATGCAGCTGGAAATGGGGGGAACGCGCCACCGCACCCGCTGGAAATCGCGGTTTCAAGTGGTTGGGAAAAGTTGGGAAACTGGGTAATCCAAAGGTTCAACTGAGCAAGCAATGGGCAAGTTGCGCGCAAATTGTTGATCCACTCCACTCGTTGAAATGTTTTTTCCTCAGCACCTCATAAAGAGTGAATAAGTCAGAGATACTCAGCATGATTTTTCCAACCTGGATGACGGGATTCATTTTTTTAAGCATTTTCTTGGGCATAGGTCTATATATATATATCATTATATATCTATAATATATATATATATATTAATTATATATATCATATATAGGTCATGTCAATTCCCCAACATCTCAATGCACACCAGGACCGCTCGGTGAGGGTTTGGGATCTTAACACCTTGGCCATGTTGGCGAGCTTGGAACAGGCGAGCTTGACGTTTTGTATGAAAAGCCATAGAAACACGTCTAAAACAATACTCAAAGAATCTCTAAGACATATACTATAATCAGAAACCGATGGATGAGGTTGTGCCGACTTCTTTGGAATTGAACATAACTTGAACCATCTCGGGCTAGTTGTTCTCCAGTTGCAAGGCTCACCTAAGTGGCATCTTCAGAGTGAGGCAGCTGGATTCAGGAGTGTGAAACCTTCGGGTGGGATTGATTGATCAAAGATCAAAATGGTTTGACCATCTTTGACCAATGGTCCAAGATTCTAAGGCATTTGGGGGTTGAAAAGTTTGAAAGGTGGTCTGTGGATCCGGATTCTGAGCTGCCGATCTTAGACCCGGTTCCAGGAGATTCCTTCATCACGGCCAGCCGAGATAGGACCATGAAGGCGGGAGCACAGACTCAAGGACACTTTCAATGGGTTGATATTTATTGAACAACTATTCAATATTATTCAATTATAGTCATTTGCAATCAACGACAGTTTATCATAATGTTAAAAGGTTTCTAATGGTTTCCTGTGTTTTTTCTCCCCAAAGCCTATTGAAAGTGTAAGTCGGACGGGTGGGGACCACTGTGCCTATTGGGTTTGCAATGATTCGTTGAGTGGAACGTTTTTTGAGGGTCAAATCCCTTTATTTCCGATCGGTACTTGGATGAACAGCTGGTGAGGTCGTTGAGCATGTTTGGTTTACAGGGGGAAAACATCACAGGAGGGAATCATAGCAACAAAAATGTGAAGTAATCATATGGAAATAAAAAACACATTAACAAGGAAACATTGAGAAATAATTAGGGAAATAATTACGGGAAATAATTACGGGAAATAATTAGGGAAATAATTACGGGAAATAATTAGGGAAATTATTACGGAAATAATTACGGGAAATAATTGGGGAAATAATTACGGGAAATTATTAGGGGAAATAATTACGGGAAATAATTAGGGAAATTATTAGGGAAATAATTACGGGAAATAATTACGGGAAATAATTAGGGAAATAATTACGGGAAATAATTACGGGAAATAATTAGGGAAATAATTAGGGAAATAATTAGGGGAAATAATTAAGGGAAATAATGAGGGAGATAATGAGGGAAATAATTACGGGAAACAATAGGGAAATAATTAGGGAAATAATTAGGGAAATAATAAGTTAGGGAAATAATTACGGGAAATAATTAGGGAAATAATTACGGGAAATAATTAGGGAAATAATTACGGGAAATAATGAGGGAAATAATGAGGGAAATTATTAGGGATATAATTAGGGAAATAATTACGGGAAATAATTACGGGAAATAATTACGGGAAATAATGAGGGAAATAATTGAGAAATAATTAGGGAAATAATTACGGGAAATAATTAGGGAAATAATTAGGGAAATAATTACGGGAAATAATTACGGGAAATAATTACGGGAAATAATTAGGGAAATAATTAAGGGAAATAATTAAGGGAAGTAATTAGGGAAATAATTACGGGAAATAATTAGGGAAATAATTACGGGAAATTATTAGGGAAAAAAACTAGGGAAATAATTACAGGAAATAATTAGGGACATAATTACGGGAAATAATTGGGGAAATAATTACGGGAAATTATTAGGGGAAATAAGTACGGGAAATAATTAGGGAACTTATGAGGGAAATAATTACGGGCAATATTTAGGGAAATAAATAATAAGTTAGGGAAATAATTACGGGAAATAATTACGGGAAATAATTAGGGGAAATAATTACGGGAAATAATTACGGGAAATAATGAGGGAAATAATTGAGAAATAATTAGGGAAATAATTACGGGAAATAATGAGGGAAATAATTCGGGAAATTATTACGGGAAATAATTGGAAATAATTACGGGAAATAATTACGGGAAATAATTAGGGAAATAATGAGGGAAATAATTGAGAAATAATTAGGGAAATAATTACGGGAAATAATTAGGGAAATAATTAGGGAAATAATTAGGGAAATAATTAGGGAAATAATTACGGGAAATAATTACGGGAAATAATTACGGGAAATAATTAGGGAAATTATTAGGGAAAAAATTACGGGAAATAATTAAGGACATAATTACGGGAAATAATTAGGGAAATAATTACGGGAAATAATTAGGGAAATAATTACGGGAAATAATTAGGGAAATAATTACGGGAAATAATTAGGGAAATAATTACGGGCAATACTTAGGGAAAAAAATAAGGGAAATAATTAGGGAAATAAGTTAGGGAAATAATTACGGAAAATAATTAGGGAAATAATTACGGGAAATAATGAGGGAAATTATTAGGGATATAATTAGGGAAATAATTGAGAAATAATTACGGGAAATAATTACGGGAAGTAATTAGGGAAATAATTACGGGAAATAATTAGGGAACTAATTAGGGAAATAATTACGGGAAATAATTAGGGAAATAATTAGGGAAATAATTACGGGAAATAATTACGGGAAATAATTAGGGAAATAATTAGGGAAATAATTAGGGGAAATAATTACGGGAAATAATGAGGGAGATAATGAGGGAAATTATTAGGGATATAATTAGGGAAATTATCAGGGAAATAATTAGGGAAATAATTAGGGAAATAAATACGGGAAATACTTAGGGAAATAATTACGGGAGATAATTACGGGAAATAATTAGGGAAATAATTACGGGAAATAATTAGGGAAATAATTACGGGAAATAATTAGGGAAAAAATCTAGGGAAATAATTACGGGAAATAATTACGGGAAATAATTAGGGAAATAATTACGGGAAATAATTACGGGAAATAATTAGGGGAAATAATTACGGGAAATAATTACGGGAAATAATTACGGGAAATAATTACGGGAAATAATTAGGGAAATAATTACGGGAAACAATAGGGAAATAATTAGGGAAATAATTAGGGAAATAATTAGGGAAATAATTAGGGAAATAATCAGGGAAATAATAAGTTAGGGAAAAAATTACGGGAAATAATTAGGGAAATAATTACGGGAAACAATAGGGAAATAATTAGGGAAATAATTAGGGAAATAATAAGTTAGGGAAATAATTACGGGAAATAATTAGGGAAATAATTACGGGAAATAATTAGGGAAATAATTACGGGAAATAATGAGGGAAATAATGAGGGAAATTATTAGGGATATAATTAGGGAAATAATTACGGGAAATAATTACGGGAAATAATTAGGGAAATAATGAGGGAAATAATTGAGAAATAATTAGGGAAATAATTACGGGAAATAATTAGGGAAATAATTAGGGAAATAATTAGGGAAATAATTAGGGAAATAATTACGGGAAATAATTACGGGAAATAATTACGGGAAATAATTAGGGAAATTATTAGGGAAAAAATTACGGGAAATAATTAAGGACATAATTACGGGAAATAATTAGGGAAATAATTACGGGAAATAATTAGGGAAATAATTACGGGAAATAATTAGGGAAATAATTACGGGAAATAATTAGGGAAATAATTACGGGAAATAATGAGGGAAATTATTAGGGATATAATTAGGGAAATAATTACGGGAAATAATAATTAGGGAAATAATTACGGGAAATAATTACGGGAAATAATGAGGGAAATAATTGAGAAATAATTAGGGAAATAATTACGGGAAATAATTAGGGAAATAATTCGGGAAATTATTACGGGAAATAATTGGAAATTATTAGGGAAATAATTACGGGAAATAATTCGGGAAATTATTACGGGAAATAATTGCGGGAAGTAATTAGGGAAATAATTACGGGAAATAATTAGGGAAATAAGTAGGGAAATTATTAGGGAAAAAAACTAGGGAAATAATTACAGGAAATAATTAGGGACATAATTACGGGAAATAATTGGGGAAATAATTACGGGAAATTATTAGGGGAAATAAGTACGGGAAATAATTAGGGAACTTATGAGGGAAATAATTACGGGCAATATTTAGGGAAATAAATAATAAGTTAGGGAAATAATTACGGGAAATAATTACGGGAAATAATTAGGGGAAATAATTAGGGAAATAATTACGGGAAACAATAGGGAAATAATTAGGGAAATAATTACGGGTAATAATTAGGGAAATAATAAGTTAGGGAAATAATTACGGGACATAATGAAGGAAATACAGTAATTATGGTAAATAATTAGGGAAATAATACGGGAAATAATTACGGGAAATAATTACGGGAAATAATCAAGGAAATAAATTCGCAAGATAATTAGGGACATAATTAGGGAAAAAAATTGGGAAATAATTCGGGACATAATTAGGGAAATAATTACGGGAAATAATTACGGGAAATAATTACGGAAAACGTTCAGGGAAATAATTACGGGAAATGTTCAGGGAAATAATTAGGGAAATAATTACGCAAAATAATTGGGGAAATAATTGGGGAAATAATTGGACAGTAAAAATTCCGGGAAATAATTGCGTGACATAATTACGGGAAATAATTACTGGACATATTTAGGGAAATAATTAGGGAAATAATTACGGAACATAATTACGGGAAATAATTAGGGTAACAGTTAGGTAAGTAATGAGGAAAATAATTAGGTAAATAATTTGGTAAATAATAAGGGAAATAATTAGGGAAATAATTACGGGAAATTAGTCCGGGAAATAATTAGAGGAATCATGAGGCAAAAACATTAGGGGAATTAATTACAGTAATATTCGAAAATAATTGAGGGAATCAAAAATTATTGGAGAAAGAATGTTCAGGAAACACGTCGGGAAATGATAAGGGGGCCCAGGGAAATAATTAGGGCAATAATTAGGGACATAATTAAGGTAATAATTATGGAACTAATTCGGACAAATTGGGGAACTAATTTTGGAATTACCATGGAAAGAGTAGGGGCATATTAGGGAAATAATAAGAAAATCATCAGTAAACAATTAGGGGAATAATTCGGGAAATAATCGGGACATATTTGGGAAATACTAAGGAAATAATAGGGCGTTGGGTGTTATATTTAATAGGATCATCCGGGAGCTGGGAATCCCTATGTCAACTGATGGTCCTCTTCGGGAAATTATTGGCACCTAAATGATTATCCCAGTATCAATGGAAACTGATGGAATCAATGAAACCTAACTGATTTTTCATCCGTAAGTATGTTCTTTCTTTCAATAGTTTGTCGATGGCCAATGGGATCAATGGAATTATTAATGGCAACCAGTTATTAATCCAATTGGCAATGGAGGCGTTTTATGCATGGAATGGATGGAAATGACTACTAATGAAAACTTGTTGTGAATCAAAGTGTTCCTTTTGCTGGTAATCAATGAAGGAAATCCGTTTGTGTTTTGATGGTTTGCTGTGACCCTGATGTGACCGGGTTGTGGCGACTTTTCTGCAAACAAAATGTCCACATTCAAGACATTTGCTGTGACTTCAGCACTCGATTGTAAGTCTCCAAATTTTAACGGACTTATGACTCAAGAAGACTGTGAAACTCATTCGCGTGAACTGACAGTCTCTAAACATGTCCCACAAAGTCACTAAGAACTTGGGGATTTCTTCACTGGCAACCAAAAAAAACACACACTCCCAAAATTTCAGAATAATTCTGAATATAGTATCTGGTTGGTGGTTTGGAACATTTTTTTATTTTTCCATCCAGTTGGGAATTTCATCATTCCAACTGTTACTAATTCCATCATTTTTGAGAGGGGTAGGTATACCACCAACCAGATTATTATTAACCATCATTAACCATCATCATTAACCACCATCAATTTCCACTAGGGGTTGGTAGGTCAACCACCAACCAGTTATTATATCCCAATTCTGGATCCGTCAGCCTCAAAATTTTCCAGGTCTGGCTCTCCTCCACCTGGCAGGTGCGAAGTCTTTGGCCTGGGTGTCGGTGATGAAAGTGGAACAAAAAACAGTTGTTTATTTTTTTAATGACCATATATGTTGAGAGTTATTCGGACTTTTAAATCTCACTATATTGGGATATATTGGGATTTGGGAAGAAAAACAGTTGGGATTGCCATTGGTGATCGGGACCTGGTTGCAGAATCCATTCAGTCTCTGATGTCTTAGCTGCAAAAAACCTGTTGATGTTGATTTGTTACAAGCTGGCAAGGGAAATGGGCTCACGTTTAATTACATGAACACGTTTGATTACATGATATGTATGGTCTTATACATGTGTCCAAATATGAGGTACTCCCAATAAACCCCAAGTGGTTTAGAACATCATTGCTTCCATTCACCCAGCGGTACTCAAACCGCCCCCGGTGAGGCGCGCCGTACCTTGGCTCCTCCTCATTACGATGGGGCTGGGGACCTCGGAATGGCACCAGCTGATGAAAACTTCAAATGTTTGGGTACAACGCGTGAGAAATTGATGAAAACAACCCAAAAATGTGATGAAAACAGCTCAATGTTTAGGAGGTTTAGGAGTGGGGAAGTCCATCGGTAGACCTTAGGTGAGCGACGTGGCGGTAGCCGGCAAGAAGGGATGCTTCTTTTCTGCCAGCCGGGATAGGCGCGTTACCAGACATGGATTCGAATCCCACCGGAACCATCCATTGCTGGTTGGGGAACAGACAGGAAGAAATTGTAGTCTCCAAGTCTCCAAGAAATTGTTTGTACTGCCAGGTGATGTGCCAAACGGGCTATCATGGGCCATCCGTTTCACCCCTTTGGGCAGGTCCATTCGACGCTGGGATTGCAAGACCCTGGAGAGCGACTTGCAGCTGGCGCATGCTCAAGGCGCGCTCAACGAGGGTGAAGAACGAGCAAATCTGTTACATCAGTATGGGTCAAATGTAGCCGGTGTAGCCCAACAAAACCCATCAAAATGGATGTTTTTTTTTTTTTGAGGGTTAAGTTTACCTCAAGTTTTGTTGGTTTAAATGGATTTACCATGGATTACCCATGGTTTAACCACCCATTTGAGGCGATTGGCTCACGGCCCTGGCCTTGTCCGTCAGCGAGGAGGTGCTCTTCAGTGGTGGCAAGGTGCGTCATAGACCGGGCCGGGCCGTTGCGGTGCAAAATGGTGGGAAAACAACCGGAAAACCAGGGAAACGCCACAGAACATCTGGAAAAAACATGGAAAACATGGAAAAACCATGGAAAACCCACGAAATCTGATGGCTAATCTCGGCTAATCACCGTGTTTTCATATACTACAGTATGTTTTTTCATTCAAATGAATATTCATGGTGAGTATATCTCCAACATTTTAAGACACGCTCGTAACACTGACCATCCTGTGGTGACAAGATTTTTCTGCATCCAGTCGCCACAATCTCAATTCATTTCACAGTTCAAGAGTTCATTCCAACAACATCTTGAATCTGCTAGAATCTCTCCTCACTGAAACATTTGATTTCCAAGACAATCATGACAAATTTGTGAATTATTTCCTTGAATTTCTTATTGAATAGATATTTCCTTGATTATTTCATTAATTCTCGACAATCACACATTCTACTAGATATTTTTTTAAAGTCATGATTAACTTCATCTTGATAACTGGATAGATATATCCATGATATTTCCGGGTGATATTTCCAAGTGATTTCCCCAGATTCATCTGCCTTCGTTCCATTTCCCCCAGGACTCCATCATCAAGGTCTGGGATGGAGATCTGTGCCATGGCCATTTGGAAAATTTAGGGGTTTCCATAGTCATGGGGCAAGGGGTACCCCGCTGGATGGTTTATTTCATTCCATTTATTCCATTTCTACTTTTTTTTTTGGATTGGAGTAGCGGGCCTCGGAGATTTTGTTGGAAAGGAATCGGCGGTGAAGAGATCGCATTTGTTTGCAGGTTCTGTGGAAGATCTGGCTGATGAATCAATGAAGAACATGAAGATGTCATGACAAGGTTTTCATTATCCTCTGGTAAACTAACATAACTATGGAAAATCACCATTTTTCATGGGAAAATCCACTATAAATGGTGATTTTCCATAGTTATGTTAAATTACCAGAGGGTATCCTCACTCTCACCGGTACTGACATGAATCTGCGCGTGATATGGCCATGATGTAAAACGGAGTTGTTTCATCATTGAAAATGCACCTATTCTGCCGCTGCCAAACATAAAAGACAATGAAAATCCATACCTCCATACTTATAGTTACTGTCAGTAACAACTGCTAAATTTGGGTTTTCATGGTCTTTTATGCTTTGTAAATATGGGTTGCCTCCACATGACTTGGGTCACCTTTTTTTTGCGGTAATTTTGCCACATTTTCAATGGAGCATCTTTCCCGGTGGTACCGCTGATTTCGCATCGTGGTTACGCGGCACCGAGGCATTGCAAGGATATGTTGCAAGGTCCGGACCCGGAGCGGGGAGTCGTTTCAGTGTTGTTTCACAACACGTTGTTGTAATCTTCCAGAAAATTCGCATGGCATTCGAAGGAGATCATTTGAAATATATATATATATAATATATATATATAATATATATATATATAATATACATATATATATATATATTTGCAATATCTACATGTTCTACATGGCAGAAAATGTCTTTCTTACCATCGGCTAACACGCCATTGGTCTGTTGAGGTCACCGGGGGCCGATCTCGGATTTGGTGCGATCTGACATGTCTTACTGTGGTCGGTGGGCCAGGTTTTTTTTAAAACATGTTTGATCCGTGTTATATAATAGTTACTAGGTTTCGGCTCTATCCCTTCCAGTGGTTAACCTGTGTCAGCAAAAGGTAGAGACCTCGGTTTGATTGCTATGGATGCCCTTTTTGGTTCCTCGTTTCCTTTCTTCACTGGGATGTTGCGGGTGACATCTCATTGTGATGGGTCAACTATTGGCCAATGGGAGCCTAGTGGGGTACCCATCATGATCCTTGATTTGCAATTGCCCTTGGGCTGTCACAGCCTTTACGACTTCTTGGTTGAGGGCAAGGATGATTTTCTTTACCTCCGCCAGTCTTTCGACTCTTGGTGGGTGGGAGTTGATGAATTTCCTGGTGATCTTTCGCCGCGAGTGGTGGAGCTCTGTGCAGGAGTTGGTGGCATGGGAGTAGGAGCCTCCTTCTTGGGGGGCATCCCAGTGTTGGCAGTGGACTTCAATAGACTTTCTTGTGAACATTTGGCCAATAATGCTCATGGGGAGGTTCTTCACCTTGATATCACATCCCTTGGCAGTGCCAAATTGATCCATCAGAAATTGGGTGCTTCACCAGGCACCACGGCTTTTGGATTTCCCTGTCAACCTTACTCTTCTCAAGGTTGCCAACTCGGTTCCAGTGACAAGAGATTTCAAGTTTTGGTTCATGGTTTGCATATCATGTTCATGCTTAGAACCCAAACGGCAGTGCTTGAATGTGTCCCAGCTGCTGGGGAACACCCAGAGATTGTCAAGGGCATCCAGATGCTTGCTTCGGCGATGGATTGGGATGTGCTCACTCTTCGAATGGACTTGCAGCACCAGTGGCCCTGTCGTAGAGATCGTTGGTGGGCACTTTTGCTTCCACGTGCTTGGAATGTTTATGGTTTGCATCCATGGCCAACCACAAGTGAGTATCAGGTGATTGGTGACATTTTTGAGTGCTGGGGCAGCTGGCCTGAAGAAGAAGAGACAGATCTTCAGCTGTTTGACTTTGAATTTGAGGCGTACATGAACCCAGCCTATGGTGCAGATCCCCGTATCCTGGAGTTTGGGGCTGTGGCCAACACATTTCTCCATTCATACGGGAACGCACTACTTCCCTGTCCTTGTGATTGCCGTGCTGGCCCTTTTAGCCACAGTGCACTCATGGCTCGAGGGCTTCGTGGATGTTTTATCCAGTCAGCTGTCCATCACAATCCACGGTATCTCCATCCCAGAGAGCTTGGACTTCTACTTGGAATGCCCGACTCCGTGGCCTACCGGATGACTCCTCGGGCCAGTTTGGCCCTGTTGGGGCTTATTGCCTCGCCAATCCAAATGGTATGGATCTATGCACATTTGCGCAACAACTTTGCGAAGGCATCTGGCCAGATGGAACTTCCATCTCCGATGGAATGGCTTCGCTCCTATCAGCGTGAACTTCTTCGACAGACTCAGGACCTCTTTCGATGCAGATTGGCCATTCCTCAATGTCTCCATCTCAAGGACCAAGATGGCAATGAGCTCTGGATCACAAGCCCTACGGCGGTCACGGTGGGTCAGCTGCTTCAGGCACAGAGGATCAGTTTGGGATGGAACGAAGCTGGGGGCATTTCTTTGAATGGGCAAGCCCTGTCACTTTCCACCTTGTTGGACTCCATGAGTGGACCTTACCAACTGACCAGTTCGGTTGGTCGAACTTTGAGATTGGCCCCACATGACACCTACATGGTTGGCATCAAACACCAACTGGAGTATCAGGTTGTCTTTCTTCATGGTGGCCAGTTTCTTTTTGAGGCACTTCGACAGCTTGACATCCACAATGTGAACCATTTGGTGGATGCTGAAGGCAAAGTCTATGGAGCTGACTTCAGAGTTTGGAAGGTGCTGAATCTTACCACCTTGGATGCGGCCCATTGGCCACCTGCTTTTCCTTTGAGGGCAGCAGGAACTGAACGTGCATCGATGGGGCTTCACGATGGGCACATTTCTTGGACTTTGGACTTTCTCAAGCATCTCACTATGGGCAAGTTGAAACCCGTCATCATCTCACCAAGGAGCGCTCTTCAACTTCTTGAGTCTCGAGATGAAGCCCTTTTTGCCATTCATCGGAATTTTTCCAACTCTGATGATCGGATTGTTTGTATCTTTCCGAGTGCTTCGCATTGGGCCTTGCTTTTTGGACATCTGCAGGGGCACATACTGTGCTGGCGCTACTGTGATGGTCTTCCTGGACAAGCTTCTTTTGTAGCATCAAGATTGGCTGCAATCATCTCGACAGAGTTGGCATTGGATTGGTCCTTTGAGCCACTTCATCTTATTGCCCAACGAGATGAACACACCTGTGGTACGATTGCCCTCTTTCATGCTGGAGCCCTACTTGGACTTTTTGGACTCCCCTCTCAGCAAGCAGTCTTGGATTTTCATGACTGGCTCTCCAGCAGACCGGCCCTTGGACTTTTGCATGACCCTTGGATTTATGGGTCTGGGCCATCAACAGGTGATGTTCAAGCCACTTTGGCTGCTCTCTTGGCTACGAAAGGTGTTCCGTCAGACCTTGCGGCTGAACGGGCAGCTGCGGCCATTAAAAAGTTGGGCACACAGGCCATCTCCCAGGCCTTGAATCAAACCAACTCTTGGCAGGCATTGAAGGCTTTGACTACTCGTCCGGGCTCCAACTTCCAGTTTGTTTTGAAGACTGAGCTCGAAGACTACATTGATGCCAAAGCCACATCGAAATATGGGGCTGCAATCCCAAGCAACAAGAAGAAGGATCGCAAAATGTCCAAGCAGACTGAACATGTCCCATTGAAGCCTGATCCTACAACCCTGCAGCTGGATTCATCTCACTTTGTTGATGATGAAGAAGATCAGGTTTCGCAGATCTCTCTTTCACAGGTGGTTGCCGATGCTCGTGGGCTTGCCATTGCCACTTTGGCTGAGGCTCTTCCCTATCTTCGAGAACGGAAGCACATCAGTGCCGATGCCCTTGGCCTTCTCATTCTCGAAGAAGTTCCGGCCAACCTCAAAGCCACTGCGGAAATCACTTCGATCCGTTTCCCAGTGACTTACCTGCCAACCATGGACCCTCTGCTCATCAATGGAAGCCTTCTTCAGTTAGGTGACCATGAAATCACTCGACGTCAAGTCCCAGATCCGGTCACTGCCATGGACTTAGCAGAGACCAATGTTCTCAAGATCCTAATGTACCGTGATGAACTTGAAGCTCACTGGGAACAAGTTGTTGATTCTCCGGTGAGGCAGCTTCTGCACCTGGTGCCATTGCTGCGGCTATGCACTCTGATGACTTGTGACCACCGATGTGGACGATTCCATGCGGCAGTTGAAGATAGCATTGATCAAGTTATTCATGAAGTTTGGGGTCGACGATTTCAGAACCTTGAGGGCAAGACCACTCCTGGACCTCAAGCTGAACTCTTTATGGCCTTTTTGCGCATTGCTTCACCAGCATTGGATGACTTGTTACGAGTTGTCACAGATGGGGTCTACTTTGAACCCAGAGCGGCGGGCTCCAAATCTACTGACAGTGACTACTCTGTTATTTGGCTACCTGGTGCCAATCGTGAGGCTGCCCTTCACAGGTTGAAGCTCACCACTCATGGCCTTTCCTTGGTGCGCATGAAGCAGCGCTATGGGATTCGTGTCATAGCTACCTATGAAGAAGCAGCTCATCGAGACCTGCGTCCCGGAGAACCATTTGTCAAAGTTGACATTTCCAAGATCTACCGACTGCATCCTCTACCACATGGACTTCAACGGCAGCAGGTGGTTCAACTTCTCAAAGAATGGAAATGGTCGGCAAAGCCTCTCCAGCCCTCCAGAGGTTCTGCAGAGGGTAGCTCATGGGAAGTCGGGGCCTCATCAGAGCCACCAGCCAATGTCCTGCCAGCCTTCAACAAGGATGTCCTGATCTCATTGATCAAAAACAAAGCTGCAGTCGACAAAACTCCTACAGTGGTTGGTCCTGTGCGGGCACAAAGACATTTGCGAAGCCATGCCACTGAGGCTGCATCCTCCTCTGTCACCTTGGACCCTTGGCTATCCCCTGCACAAGATCCATGGCAATGCTACAAGGGGGCTGCAGCACAGGCTGAACCAGGCTCAACCAAACGATATGATGCATTGGTGACTCAGCTCACCACTGATGTTCAAGCTTCCATTCAACAACAAGGAGTTACTGACGCCACTGCTGACACAGCTCGCATCCAAAAATTGGAAACGGACATGGAGGAGATCAAAGCTCACAATGCTACGTTCCACTCCTGGTTCAAAGAGACTGGCACCAAACTTGCCCGGCAAGATGAACAGTTGGCGCATCTTCAGACGGCAGTCCAACAACAGCATCAAGACCTACAAGTTGTTCGCACTGAGGTCCACACCTCGGCAGACAACCTTCATCAAGCCATGCAGTCATCCTTTGGTACGATGAAGAATGACTTGGCTGCTGAGCTGACAAGCGCTGTTGCAACTCAGATGGACCGATTGGAAGGCATGCTGTCCAAGCGACAGCGCAGTGACTGTTGACTAGGTCACCCTGGGCCCAAGGCTTCTTGGGCGCCAGACCTTGTTGGATTTTCTTTGTCAGTATTGCTACGGCACCTTTGGACCTTCATTTTCTTTTTTCAACTTTGCTCAGTTTCCGCTCTTCAATGGGCTTTTCCGTCACACTTGCCTTTCATCTCTTCGAACTCGTCATGTTTGGATTTTTTGGACTTTCCTTTTCTCCCTTCGGTCAGATGGGGTGAAGCTCGACATCCTGGTCCTTCCACTGATTGGCAACTCTTTGGATTTTCCAATCCTTCTGGGCGTCGCCAAAAAGAAGATGCGGCGCTCTCACTTGGGCCAGGAGTTTGGTCATTTTCAGAGACACAACTGTCGCAAGTGACGCAGCAGTCTTGTGCAGCTCAGCTACGGTATGTTGCGGCCTCTCAACATCGACAACTTCGAGTTCACTTCGGGGCTCCAGTCACCACACGTGCCACTTCTACGTGGGCGGGAACTTGGTCTGGTGTTGCCACGATTTCTGATCATCCATCTCAGGAGATCATGTTGCCATATGCGGGTGAACGAGACTGTGGGCGTCTTCTCACCACGAGGCATCTTTTTGGCAACCTCTCTGTGACCAACACGGTGATCTATGGATATCCAAAAGGTCCTACATGGCCTGATGCCTATGGGCTTACCACCAACCTGCTTGGCATAGTCACCACTGAGATTGTCCTGGGTGGCACTGGGCCTCGATTAGTGGGTGGTGATTTCAATGCTGGTCCCACTGACCTTTCCGTTTTTGCGCTTTGGCGTCAGCTTGGATGGCAGTCTGCCCAAGACTTGGCTGAGGCCTTCTGGGGGCAGCAAAAGGCCTTTACCTGTAAGCATGCCACTGAGAGGGACATGATTTGGCTCAGCCCTGAAGCTATTGCTCTTTGTCGAATAGTGGACATTGCTGATGTCTTTGCGGAGCACTCCACGATCACGGTGGGACTTCACATTCCACGATCATGTCCATCTCAACTTGTTTGGCAACGACCTTCTCCTATCCCCTGGGACCAAATTGACCCTCAATGGGCGTCTTCTGCTTCTCCACCGTCTTGGACTTTGAATGGGGATGCTGATACCCAGTGGGCTGAATGGGCTTCCTCGTTTGAGAAGAGTCTTCACGGGCATGTTCTTCAGCAGCCAGGTCAGATGCTTCACAAGGGTCAACGTGGTCGTCTTCAGCACACCAAGCCCCAGAAGATTCCACAGACTGCCAGAGTTTTGAAGCCAAGCAGACCAAGTGAAGTTCAGCTTCGCAATGACTTCATCGGTTCCGAGGTAAAACAATGGTTCAGACAGCTTAGACGACTGCAAAGTTACAAAGCTGCCATTTTGGCCAACAAGCTCACGAGCGAGGCCGTCACCTATCGGCTTGAACTCTGGATGGCCATCAAGAAGTCCCCGGGTTTTTTGGATGGATTTGTTACGTGGTGGACTTCCCACAGAACCATTTCTCTTCCGGAAACTCCGGCTCAGCTACCGGTTGGGCCTCCTTGTGCTTCTTTGGCCACCGCGATCTTTCAGACCTTCAAATGCAATTTTGAGCATTTTGAGCAGTGGCACCTGAAACAACGAGGCAAGCTCCTTCAGTCTAAGTTTGACAAGGGCATGCAGGGCATCTTTCAGGATCTGAAGAAACCTCAGAGAGACCGCATGGATTTTTTGGTCAATGAGAAAACGTTTGCAGTTCTTGCGACTGATGAGACTGAACATCAGATTCATCTTGATGCCCCAATCCTTGATGGTGGTTTTCTTCGATGGTCTCATGATGGTCAGCTTCTTGATGTTGAAGTCATCAATGATGTGGTGCTCCAAGTTCCTTCAGGCCTTGATTTCTCGCCTGGTGATGTTCTTACTCAACATCAATTGCTTTCTGACACCCAGTCCTTGCATCAACAACTTCTGGAGTACTGGAAACCTACGTGGTGTGCGCTTGCTGAGGTTGATCAGGCCACTTGGGCCAGGGTCACTGCCTTCTTTCAGGCTTATGTGCCCAGGTTGCGATTTGATCTGCAACCCATTGGTATCGCAGAATGGAGACGAGCGCTCAAGAGGTATGGGCCACATGCTGCACGTGGAGTTGATGGTATATCACCACGTGACCTCTTGGAATTGCCAGTCTCCTGGACACAACGCCTTTTGGATTTGCTTCATGCTATCGAACTTGGTCAGTCTTCTTGGCCTACGGCAGTTCTCTATGGCATTGTCAGTGTTCTTGCCAAAGACGAGGGCGCACAGACAGTTAGCCGTTACCGGCCAGTTGTGATTTTCAGTGTGTTGTATCGCACTTGGGCCAGTATCAGGGCCAAACAGCTGTTGAGGATTTTGACACCACACATGGATGTGGAGGCATTTGGGTTCATGCCTGGTTGCGAATCAACACAGCTCTGGCTTCTTTTGCAGGCAGAGATTGAGTGCTCCCTTCAAACGGGACAACCTTTGTGCGGCCTCAGCACAGATTTGACGCGTGCATTCAATTTTATACCAAGACAGCATACTTTCACTCTTGCCCAACATTTAGGAGTGCCCACGCGAATCATTTCTCCATGGCGTGGATTTCTTGCTTCGTGTACTCGGGCATTCGAGATTCGTGGAGTTCTGAGCGATGCCATCCGCTCGACTTGCGGGATGCCTGAGGGCGACGCCCTCAGCGTGTTCGGGATGACCCAACTTTGTTTTGCCTGGCACCTTTACATGAGGGCCTACTGTCCAGCCATCAGGTCCATGAGTTTCGTGGATAACTTAAGCCTGCTGGCTGCGGTGCCGGGGGCCCTTGCCCATGGACTAGCCTGCTTGGTGGAGTTCTTTAAGCTTTGGAACCTGGCTATCGATAAGAGCAAATCCTATTGTTGGGCCCTCACTGCAGAAGGCAGACAACAAATGGCGGCTTTGCCTCTTGCTCGAGTTGACCATGCCCATGAACTAGGAGGTGTACTCTCTTTTACCAAGCGGCGTTTTACTGGGTTGCAACAAAAGCGAATTGCTTCTTTACCTGCCAAGTGGAAACGACTTCAACACAGCAGAGCGCCACTGGCCTTGAAACTTGCGGTTCTGCCATCAGTCTTTTGGACTTCAGCCCTTTATGGCATCAATGGATCGTGCATGGGTGAGCTCCACATTGACGCTCTACGACGGCAAGCACTACGTTCTTTGCGATTGGCAAAGGCTGGAGTCAATGCACTTTTGCGCTTGGGGCTCTCTTCCACTCCGGCTGCTGACCCGGGGTTTTGGAGATTAAGAATGACCGTGCGAACTTTCTTGCGCCTGTTGGGCAAAGAACCTCGCTTGCTGGGGCTCTGGAAAACGTTTATGCTTGGCTTTGATGGCACTCTTTTTAGTGGTCCTTTTTCTCAACTTCTTGTAGTTCTTAACCAAATTGGATGGAAAATTGTACCCCCTTTTTTACTTGACCATGACGGCTGCTCAATCAACCTTCTTTGTGCTGACGAAGCTGCACTGGATGAGCTGCTGTATGATGCTTGGCTTCAGCACATTGCGCGCACTGTCTCTCAGCGGAAAACGATGAATGATCTGAAGGGGCTGGACCCGCAATTGCTGGTTGCTGATACTACTAGTTTGACGAGTTTGCAACGCTCATGGTTGGATGCATTGCGCTCAGGCGCATTTATGGACCATGCAGCCCAGTCTCACTTTGACATGACGAAGTCAGCGGACTGTAGAGTGTGCGGGGTTTCAGATGATACTCGCCACTGGCTGGTGTGTCCTCGTTTTCACCATGAACGTCAGCAAATTGAAGGGTGGCAAACACACCATGCACATGATACCACTGCGTTGATGGCGCACTTGCTGCCCTCACGTTCCCCTTTCGCGGTGGATTGGAAACAAGCTTTGTTGGATGTTCCCTGTGCCTTGCAGGACTTTTTGTCGGCACCAGGACGGGGGACACAACATGTTTTTACGGATGGATCTGCCACTTGTGCGAGATCACCTTATCGGATTGCTGCTTGGGGGAGTCTCAACTCCACCACGGGTGAGTTCATCTCGATGGGCCATGTTCCTGGCCTGAGACAAACCAGTGATCGTGCTGAACTACTTGCGGTGGTGAGCACCCTGGCTTGGCAACAACGCTTTCAAATCAACCTTCATTTGTGGATTGACTCCAAATTTGTTGCGGATGGCCTGCTCTACCTCCTTGCGTATGGGGTGACCGGGAGTTGGGCTAACATGGACTTGTGGCTCCAAGTGGAAGGCCTTTTGCAACAGATTGGACAGTTGGAGCTTACTCCACATTGGATACCTAGCCACTTGGACACGAAACGCCTTGAGTGTCCATTTGAAGACTGGGTTCAACTATGGAATGATCGAATTGATGTGGCGGTGGGGCGCTTCAATTTGGATCGGTCAGAGGCCTTTCTGCAGCTTCGAACTGCGGCTATCCAGCACTATGACATGGGAGTTGCTCGCTTGCGGCAATTGCGAGCCTTCTACTTTGCGGTGGCGTCCAAGACATCGCAAGCAGAAACTGAGACCAGTGAGGGGACCGAAGTTTCACTGTTTGGTTTTGTGGAAGGACCGCAGATGTCCCTTTTTGATTTGTATATTCCTAGCTTTGAGGGGCTCATGCTGTCTTCCGACACACGGCCAACTGATTTGCCCATGGCCTTTACTTTGTCCTTGTTTGAGCATTTGCATGGCAGTTGTTCTGATGATTTTGCTGTTTATCCGTTGTGCTTCGAGGAGCTGACCATGTGGCTCATTAAGGACTTTTCAATTAAGTTCCCTTTCAGTCATCCTGTTTCCGGGGAGATGGAACTCCATGCCCTCTCTTCCCGATATGAAAGGCCAACTTTTTCCTATTTGCTCAGGTGCGTTAGGCGGGCGGTTTTGTGGTTTTTGTCTTTGGTTGATGGTTCGGATCAGGTTGTTTTCAAATCATGGAACAAAGTTGACCTTCATATTCAGCGACCGACTGAGGGACTTTTTATTCGACTGTCTGACCGCACAGTTTCCAGGTGTCAGACTTTGCTGAGAGGTTTCACGGCTTCTCGGCCGATTCGCAGGAACTGCGATTTGGCGCGCCCGGTGTGAGGCACTTAGGAGGACAAAGCGACACTGCCTTCGCTGTGCCCTTTGGACCGCAAGCTTGTCCGCGCTATATAATAGTTACTATAGCTATATGGTGGAGTCTATGTTATATGGTGTGTTATAATAAAACATATATAACTATAACATATAAGGTGTGTTATATGTTGGAGTCTATGTTATAGTTATACATATATTCCATAGACATATAGAATAGTCACTGTAGTTATATATATATATATAAATTATAGAATCATCATCCGTCATAATGCTATTTAAATTAATATGTATTTGCCCCCTGGTCGAACTAGCATGACATATGCCTAGTTTCGGGTAGTTGCGAAGCCGTTTCATAGCTGATGTTGGCTCGGTCTTGCAGTGCTTCTCAGGACCTTGAAGAGTGCCATTCAGATTGAGAACCCACCAGCCACCAAAAAACCTCAAGAGTGGAATTGACCAGAATTTACAACGCAGCCAACGGGAGTTTTTCTGGTGGTAAAGCCATACCCACAAAAGCAAGAACAAAAGATTGTCAACCCCAGATCAATCACCCTCTTTTTTGGCTGTCCAATTGGTGGCGACATTTGAGTTGCATTTCATTCTTTGGAAGGAACCCTTAGGTTTGAATCAAGCAGGGTTCATATGTTCATCCAGTCATCCGGGCCACTTTATCCACTTTCTATTGCCAGTTGACCATCGACAATCATCTCTTCTCTGCTTCACATGACCGCACTGTGTGCATCCTCAGGGTGTGGGATAAGGTCGCACTGAGTGTGATAGATCATGGACGAATTTGAGGAACACATGCCCAGTTGATATGGAACAAAGAAGGCCGAGTGGCATGCCGAAAAAAATGCGAAGCGTGATGCTGATGAAGGATGATGAAGGGTCCAATGGTGAGTGTTTCAAAGTCTGGTAGTCTGCCAAAATAGACTACACAACTTCTCAAACATCGAAGAAACAATAAGAAACAAATTGGGTTATAACGGTTATGGGTGTACCCTGCTAAAAGGCGCCCCTTTGCAGTTGTTCAGCCGCCTTCAGGTTCGTGTTTGGAAGATAGACCACTTCGACACCTAAACGCCGCCGCGGGGGCGGATTTGCCAAAGGTGCAAAGGTGCAACGTGTGACTCGATGAGTCAACTCAGAGGACCAGATCAGACCTTTCCACCAAGGGGGCCCGGTAGTGATGTGCTTTCCACCAAGGGAAAGCCGCAGTGGATTTGGGGTCCATATTGAGAAGCTCATCGGTGATAGATGCGATAGATGTGATAGGCCCTGCGAATCTGTTATTCATTGGTCCTGGGTGTGGGTGGGTGGCACCACTATGCGCCACTTCCACATGTGAAGTTTCAGGTTATTTCAGGTTCCTTGTTGATAGGAGCCAGAGATGAGGGAACCACTTGATGCTTCTATCGGATAGAGGCTGGCTTGCGCGCAAATGAACCCGGATCTTAGATCCGGCAGAGGTTTCCTCTGGATGCAAATGGCCACCGCTTCCTCAGGTATCGCACCAAAAAAAGGCCACATTATTTTGAAGGGGACAGCTTCTTAACACATATTTTATACTAATTACTAAAGGTACCCTCTGGTTATTTAACATAGCCATGGAAAATGGCCCATTTATAGATGGTTTTCCCATTCAAAAATTGATGAGGGATTTTCCATGGCTATGTTAAATAACCAGAGGGTACATCTGATTTCTGGACATTCATTGCCATGGCCACCATCACCTCAAAGCAGAGGAAACCAGTAGCCGGATGGCGCCATGGTGTTGCGATGGCATCACCGAAGCAGTGTAAAAAGATGGCATCGATTTGGGGACCTGGGTCATCATAATATGCCATCATGTTTCAAGATGATTTGAAAGGCAGTCATTCTTGGATAATGCATGGATCAACTTCCATTGTGATTGCTTCAAAGTCACATATTTTTCCGTGCACCTATATAAATCAACAGACGAACCCACGATGGTACAATGATGTGCAGTCAGAGCTGGAACTTAAACAGATTTGTTTCTCTTAAACAACCACCTATTTTCTATTGCTTACCGCAATCTCGACTTGCGTCTTTCTTCTATACATCTATTGTGGCATGTTGCTTACTTGGAGAATCATCCAACCTGGCAACTGTCTAGCTAGAGTGATCCCGTTTATAGGTGGGTTATAAGCTCTATGAATCACTTGTCAAGTTGGATTTTAGTGGCATTTGTTCCAGTCAAGTGTCCGAAACATATATGTTCGACCACCAAATGGGGACGGCGCGACATTTGGATGTATTTCCAACATAGTTTTTCCCAACAAAGTAACAAAGGAAATGCATACCCAATGGAATCCTGAGTCCCAATTCAATCAAGCTCCTGTTGGATTTTGGTCGGAAACCAGCAAAACACTTAAAAGCACTTGTTTTGACAAAAAGTGTTCGTTTTTGAGGACTACCATTTCTTTGTTGAAACAGCTAAAAGTATCTAAAAGTAGTACGGTCACCTATTTGTAGTGACACATATTTTGGTCTTTTGATGTCTTTTGTGGATTTAAGTGCAGGGTCCAGGGCCATTTGCATAGTATATGATGTATATGCGAACAAACATCTACTTCTGAATGCGTGAACTCTGTACTCGCTGGTATAACGGCAAACCTGCACATGTCCAAAAAGTTGCCATCGTCGCTCATGTTCGCAAATATTTTGCTCAACGACAGCCTTCAGCATTAAAACCCTCAGAACATCAAAGTAAACACATTAATAAATCTAAGGATTCCGAAAATCTAAGCATCATCGCTTAAATGACTTTGCGTCCGGCAATCGTCTGCAAAGAGTTTGCAATGGCAAGCGCTTTGGGGTCCATGGCATTTGGCCGTTGGATGTGGCTGTTGGGAGCCTTTCCCCTGGCAGCAGCAGAAGATGTGTTGAACGTTCTTTTCATGGCCACTTGGATGGTGTGGGATAGCAGGGCGGTGCTGGGGCTGTGGTTTGAATGTCGTGCTTGAAAACCAGGTGAGGGTGATGATAAAGATCAAATTGGAACATATTTTCACCAACCAATCATCAGCTCACTAGTCTGGGGCATGGAGCAACCCAAGAGTTCATTTTGAGCCACAAAACAGTTTATTGGCGGAAGCATCGAGGGCCAAATTCCAACGTTTGCTGCTAAAAGATGCCTATCGTTGGTGAGTCGAGTGACATGAGTCATATCCCCATCCTCATCGGTCCATTTTTTGGCGGTTAAAATGCAAGTTGTTGGTGATTATAATCACTATGCCCGTCAGTGAAACACTGCCTGACATGTGTTCTTTTCCAATCTGGGCATGATTGACCCCAAGTGACATCAAGGCCGACATCGGTCACAGCCGAAATCATGCCGATGACCTGACAACGCCATTCCCCATGGGAAAATGTGCCTATGAGGGCGCATTCAGCCTTTATGAAGGCGGGTTCCCCCGAGGGTGGCACTGGGAAACCCTGCCGCAACCTCCCCATTTTGATGGGTTTATGGCAGCTGCTATAGCTTATTGTTGAGCTTTTACCACGATTAACACCTAAGTTCCGCCTCTTTTTTGGAGGAATGCTTGCGGCAAGTTAAATTATTGGGCACATGGTCAAGATTGTAGGAATTTGGTGCAGGGATGCGCAGGGTGATTATTGGGATGTGTAAGGCTCGGGTCAATTTGGTCTCCAAACCGTCGCCTGGTCTACGCCAAATCCATTTGTGCAGCCAAAGCAAATTGGGTTGTCTGAAAACTTTGGGAAAACCCTGAATTCCGATATTTTATTGATTTTTATTGTAATTGTCCCCATTGTTTTCTGCTGAAAACCAAAAGAGTTCTTCTTTGCGAGGCTTAGAAGATTTCATCGTGAATCAAGGAGCCAAACCCACTGCAGCTCTGATCGTGACTCGGAGATAGTTTGTTTCGTTGCAAGGAGATGTCAATTGCATCATTTACATCACATGTGTTCGATTGAAGACGATGGTCACCAAGCACATCCAAACACCATGCTCCAATGTGCACTTCAATGTGCACCAAACAATTTCTGCGACATCGAAAATCAGGTGGGAGACATCGCATATGGCGGTGGCAGCCAACTGGTGAACAACGCCACACGTCATGCTTTTCAGAAATATCTCCATGGCCAAGTCCCTGTGGATCGCGTCTATCCGGTGATGGGCAACCATGTTGGAGCACTCAGAGGGGGCTGCGAGGCTTCCAACAGATCCAAGAGGTTGTTATGAGGAAAATCATGGATTTTTAGGGGAAAAACATGGATTTTAATGGAAAATCATGGATTTTTATGGAAAATCACAGAAAACTCAAGGTCTTCCGATGAATTCTGCTCACCACATATCAATCTAGATATGCTTGATCAACAATGAGGTTTGTTTGTAAAGGTTCATTGAAAAACACACTCAAATTCTATCAAATTCTGGTGTACTTTGTGTTGGGTTGACAACATCCAGCAATCAACCAGTGATGCAGATTTTCTTCAGCTTCCTCAGTTGGTATCTCCCCATAGACCTGTGGGACCTATGGCTGCGGGGCGTCCAAGGACATTCACTTCCTTGGGTGCAGCAAGGGTGAAGTGTGGCTTGGATCACTTTATGTATTGCACACTTCTGCCAGTTACCTCATTTCTTTTTTAAGGTCGAAGGTTGGTGTAGTTCGACACGCAGGAAGCAGAAAAAACTGAAAAAACGATGTTTCACTGGGTGAAGTCAACGGAGGTCTCTATGTCTCTATGTTTCCACTTTCCCGCATCTGTTGATTGAAACCGCCATTTTGGTCCGATCTTGGCTCAAGCAATCTTTTGGTCCGATCTGTTTATTGAAACCGCCCCGAAGCCTTGTTTCACAACACCCGTCGCTGCCATGGTTCCAAAGGCAAATTTGATCTTTGTTTCAATGGTGGCCAGTGTGATTCCTCAAGCTTTAGTGGTGGCCCTTGACGATCCCTCGCATAGGCGAGCCATCCCCGAAGAATTGGGCGTGTGGGACAAGTTCTGCCAGATGAACAGCGATTTGGCCAGCATGGAAAAACCAGTGGAAGTTTCTAAACAAGAGGCTCCAGGGTTTCAGTACACGTTTACCTTCAGCAACCGTCCCCCGGTGAATGTCTACGAAGTGCCATGGCTACGGGATTTGGTAGTTCAGAAGTTCCCATGACGATCCCAAGCATAGACGAGCCACCCCCGAAGAATTGGGCGTGTGGGACAAGTTCTGCCAGATGAACAGCGATTTGGCCAGCATGGAAAAACCAGTGGAAGTTTCTAAACAAGAGGCTCCAGGGTTTCAGTACACGTTTACCTTCAGCAACCGTCCCCCGGTGAATGTCTACGAAGTGCCATGGCTACGGGATTTGGTAGTTCAGAAGTTAGTGGTGGCCCATGACGATCCCAAGCATAGCCGAGCCACCCCCGAAGAATTGGGCGTGTGGGACAAGTTCTGCCAGATGAACGGCGATTTGGCCAGCATGGAAAAACCAGTGGAAGTTTCTAAACAAGAGGCTCCAGGGTTTCAGTACACGTTTACCTTCGGCAACCGTCCCCCGGTGAATGTCTACGAAGTGCCATGGCTACGGGATTTGGTAGTTCAGAAGTTCCCATGACGATCCCAAGCATAGCCGAGCCACCCCCGAAGAATTGGGCGTGTGGGACAAGTTCTGCCAGATGAACAGCGATTTGGCCAGCATGGAAAAACCAGTGGAAGTTTCTAAACAAGAGGCTCCAGGGTTTCAGTACACGTTTACCTTCAGCAACCGTCCCCCGGTGAATGTCTACGAAGTGCCATGGCTACGGGATTTGGTAGTTCAGAAGTTGATATAGTCTCTGAGGTGAAGAAGAGCCCGAAGTAGGTGGATGAGCCAGACCACATCCCAAGTGACACTCCTATGGCAGTTGTAGAGGTGACTTGGGCTCAGCATGGCTGGTACAGTATCGGCGTTACAGGCTCGTTTTTTTTGACGAAGTGCCCGCCTTTCAAGTGGAAGGTTGGTGTAGTTCGACACGCAGGAAGCAGAAAAAACGAAAAAACGATGTTTCACTGGGTGAAGTCAACGGAGGTCTCTATGTCTCTATGTTTCCACTTTCCCGCATCTGTTGATTGAAACCGCCATTTTGGTCCGATCTTGGCTCAAGCAATCTTTTGGTCCGATCTGTTTATTGAAACCGCCCCGAAGCCTTGTTTCACAACACCCGTCGCTGCCATGGTTCCAAAGGCAAATTTGATCTTTGTTTCAATGGTGGCCAGTGTGATTCCTCAAGCTTTAGTGGTGGCCCTTGACGATCCCTCGCATAGGCGAGCCATCCCCGAAGAATTGGGCGTGTGGGACAAGTTCTGCCAGATGAACAGCGATTTGGCCAGCATGGAAAAACCAGTGGAAGTTTCTAAACAAGAGGCTCCAGGGTTTCAGTACACGTTTACCTTCAGCAACCGTCCCCCGGTGAATGTCTACGAAGTGCCATGGCTACGGGATTTGGTAGTTCAGAAGTTCCCATGACGATCCCAAGCATAGCCGAGCCACCCCCGAAGAATTGGGCGTGTGGGACAAGTTCTGCCAGATGAACAGCGATTTGGCCAGCATGGAAAAACCAGTGGAAGTTTCTAAACAAGAGGCTCCAGGGTTTCAGTACACGTTTACCTTCAGCAACCGTCCCCCGGTGAATGTCTACGAAGTGCCATGGCTACGGGATTTGGTAGTTCAGAAGTTGATATAGTCTCTGAGGTGAAGAAGAGCCCGAAGTAGGTGGATGAGCCAGACCACATCCCAAGTGACACTCCTATGGCAGTTGTAGAGGTGACTTGGGCTCAGCATGGCTGGTACAGTATCGGCGTTACAGGCTCGTTTTCTTTTGACGAAGTGCCCGCCTTTCAAGTGGAAGGTTGGTGTAGTTCGACCTGCTGCAGGAAGCAGAAAAAAACGAAAAAACGATGTTTCACTGGGTGAAGTCAACGGAGGTCTCTATGTCTCTATGTTTCCACTTTCCCGCATCTGTTGATTGAAACCGCCATTTTGGTCCGATCCGCCTTTCAAGTGGAAGGTTGGCGTAGTTCGACATGCAGGAAGCAGAAAAAACGATGTTTCCACTTTCCCGCGGCTTGACATTGCAGTTTCCCTCAATTTTAAGCTAAATGTCTTAGAATTGAATGACACATCTGAATCTTCAGGAAGCCCCTAGGTTTGCAGATAAACACTTGGGTTTCGGCACTGGATTTTCCCTTCAATCCATTGAATCATGATTTTCATCACGCGTGCCACGCGTGCCACGCGCCTGGAGGCTCACCCCGTTTCTGCCCTGCTACTATGGAACTGCCCACACCAGTGTGGTGTCCAACTACGAGATGACCTTTTCGTAGGAGACCCAGGATGCCACAGGAGACCCACGGGAGACCCACGGGAGACCCACGGGAGACCCACGGGAGACCCAGGAAACGGGGCTGCGGGGCTGACGCCACAGGCAGTGGCGTGAGAACTGGATGACCGCCTTCCCAGGCTTGTCCCAGGCGAGAATGGGTCAAGATCAATATGCCACCATTGTTGATGGTCAAATCTGGTAGATGGATGTAGATGGTAAAAATCTATGGCATATCATGTTAATTCATGTTAATTCCCTACTTTTCTCCAAAAAGTGTAAATTTGAATCATTTTGAATCATCTTAAATTCCATTTTTTCCGTTTTGTTTACATGGCCTAAACCAATTTGCACAGCGAAGTAGCTGATAGTGAACGATTTTCATCCCCTGCTGTTCAGTTTCTCCACAGGGAACTTGAAGTTCTGCTAATGTGTGGCACCTCGGACCCCATCTGCTTCATTCTTGATGAAATCCCTCGTTGGTGGTGGTTGGATTTTGATTTTTGATGATTATATTCCAAATTTTTGCTTGGATGATTAGATTTTTGATGATGATATTGGATGATTTGGATGGTTAGATGTTTGATGATATTCCAAGTTTTGATTCCAATTTTCGATGGTTAAGCCAGTTAATCGACATGTGAATCTCCCATATTTTTATTGGTGAAATTCATCATTAGCCCGTGCAGCGCCGACACCCTACAGGTACTTCTTCCTGCGAAGGACAGGGGTGCTGACATCCCACCCATTGCTGTGGTTAGTGCAACTTTGTCAAGCTACATCCATGCACAGCAAATATTGACCATAGAAATTGGAACCTGGATCATAAAAAATGTCAACTTTTAATGATTATTAATGGTATATTGACCAATGGTATATTGACCACAAGCGAGTTCCACTAATGTCATAGAAAAACATATAGTCTTGTGGAGTTTCATCGGTTGATCATAATCATAGAAGCCCAGGAGCCCGAGGAGCAGCATCTGGGCAAGGTTATTTAACAGATTTTTCAGAGTTGGCGATGGAACATGGAACATGGCATAATTTGGATTAATTTAGTAGATAGAAATAGATGATCAAAAGGTTATTTTTCAGTTCCCCTCAAATTATCAGATGCTACTGCTGCTTCTCCCGATCCCAAGGGTCCCAGCTTAGGTGGATCGCTCCTTTGCGGTACAATCTGAACCTGGACAATCGAAGCAGTGTGACTTGGCAGATGTGGGGCTTTCCATCATGGGGGATCCCCAAGCGAGCATTGGATGGTTTATTTTATGGAACATCCATCTATAAATGGATGATAACTAGGGTTACCCCTAGGAAACCTCCATATGTTGAGACACATGATAAAATGGTATTGTCCAAATTTAGGAGCTGGACAACCACCATTGAAAAGGACATAGTGACATATCCATGAATCCATAAAGATTAGAATCCAATCATATTCCACTCATGTTGTTTTTTCCATTCCCAAGGATTCCCAAGGATTCCAGATCCGGATTCATCAACTTCCATCAATCTGCCCTCGAGGTCCACTTCATTGCTGGGCTCATTTCTGGGGTGTACCGAACCTATTGGAACAACGACACCCCAGCTGAGACTGGGCTGAAGTTCCCACAGCATGTCCCATCTTTTCGATGGACCTCGGTCATGGGTTGTATCTATAGTAGTGTATCTATAATGAATAATAATGTTGATAGTTGATAGCTCTTGGATATTTTTGTTTACTATGTAGATCTATATTACATACTTTCTGTTGAATCTTGATTGCTAGAATTCGGATGAGCATTTGGTGATTTGAAATATGTTTCCATAAGATATCTATAAAGTTGCTTGTTCAACTGCTAGGACCCTGGTGAAAGGTGGGATGCGCTTGAATTGTGCAGCAGTTGTACATCCGTAACAGGCTGATTTCATCGTGGATACCCTCTGGTAAACATACAAAAAACTATGGAAAGATCCACCATTTTTAATGGGTAATTCCACTATAAATGGCCATTTTCAATAGCTATTTTGACATAACCAGAGGGTAATATGCCATACCCGCCTTATTTTTTTTTTGTTTCATTTCATCTTGGATCAACTTAAAAAGTCGCCACTTTAAAAAGACACTTGTTCACCTTGTTCTTGGTATGTATCATAATCCCCACATGTCCCCATATAGATGGACAACTACTTCATCAAAACGAGCAGGGAAAACATGTGAATCTTCTATCTGAGCATTGTTATGACTGTGCCTGCCCCAGCAGCCATTGATGTACCCACTCTGAAAGTGTCCCATCCAGGGCAAACCATGTCCACTTTCTAATATTCTATTCAGTATTAAATTAGTGTAGGTCAAAACTGAAGACCCGACTGGAGCCTTTATCATGATTGAGGTCAGTTCAATTATCTACAACCATCCCATTCTTGGTTGATTTGGTATGCTCTAAGCCCCATACAGTCGAAACCATCCTGGGGGGTTCATTTGCCTAACACATTGTTTCTTGGGTTTCTCTAAACGAAGAAATTGATCGACATGTCATGAAATAGGATTGGGTTTGCCACAAAAAACCATAGCACCAAATGAAATCCATTCATGAAATAAACCATAATAAATCCCTATTTGATCCTATTTGGGCCTTGGGCTGGTTCAATTCCAACTTCATCCAATTTCTGATGGTGATATAACCAATTAAACAGCTCCACAGTTTGGATGGTTACCGGAGAACCGTTGAGCACGTTGAGGTGGCTGTGGATGCCATGGGTTCAGGTGGGGACACCTTGGAATGTCGCTTCCTTCGGGACTCTCTGGAGGAAGGCTGGGTGATGTCTGATGGCAAATGGATGAACATGGCCCACTTGCAGATGATTTACCAATTGAAAATGGTTAATTAGTTTCTACAGCCCTAATTGATTGGGATAAATCATTGGATAAAGAATTGATGGTGATTATCAATTATGATATGACCACAATTGATGGCAAACTTTGGACATATACAGAAGATGGTGATGTTTCGAACAGACAGGGCAACATTTTGACCAGAAAACACTTGGGTTTCCATTTTTTTTCAGATTTAAAGGCGCTAACCCTTTTCATGTTGCTCGGGGACAGGTCGTAGGCTCAAGAAAAGCATCTTCATCTACATGACGCACAACTTCGCGAAAGCCTGCAAGGAGACGCAAAAACTTCCAGGGTTCGTTCCAGGGGGCGCAGGGTTCCAGAGACCCAAATGGGTATGGATCAATACCTATTAATACCATTTTTAGGGGGATTAACATCCATTTACCAGCTATTTTGATGTTCACCAGGGGCATAGGGTTTTGACCCATAGCCAAATAGATTTGGGCCTTGGCAGGACTGGAGCCTCATCAGCCAGATGGATGCGGGGTCCTCAAAAGTCCGATGGGGAAATCTGGGCTATGAATTGATGGTTCAAAATGGTGGTGTTTTTAGGAACCCGGGGTTCCTGATGTTTCCTGATGGCTGATGTTTCCTGTAGATGTTCCCTCACCTCAAACAATCCATTGAAACCAAAATGGGGAAGGAACTACAGGGGATTCCACGGGTTTTACACAGGTAAACATCCCATAGATATCATAAATCATCCCAACATCACCTTAAGATCATAACTGAAATAAAATCAAATAAACTTGATTATGAATCAACAATTTATGATATCATGATGAATCTTCACCATTTGATGTCATAAATGTCAGCTGGTTTTGAGGTGTGGATCACAGGGCACAAGCACAGCCGATGGCAATCCGAACCTTCGCGTTCCGAGATGGCTCAAGAGTTGCCCAGCGGCAAACATGGGCAGCTGGGAAATCCCCGAACTATACATGGAGCTTTGTAGACTTTGCTGGGAAAATCCATCGAAATGGTGATTTTCCGATTTCATGAGGCATCGCCGATTTTTTAGTAGGATTTATTATTTTATACTGAACATTTTTCTTTTTCTCCATTGATACTATACCTCCCTGATCATCCATTTATTGAGAAAATACAATAGACATTTGTGGCTTATGATTGGGACATTGACGCCAAGTACAATCTACAGATTTTTCCATATGTGGAAAATTGAGGCCACACATTTTCTTCAAAGAAGCTGCCGCTTTTCGTGAAGGCGATTCCACATTCCACCCATCGACCGGTTTGATGTTTGGAACATTTTGGACCTGAATAGCCTTTGAAATATGGATGCAACCGCTGAATTTAAAAGTGAAGTCATTCTAACATCATCTATTGACATTATCTTTATTGACATGTCGGTCTGACTTTCTTCAGAGCCAGACTCCTACAGTGGTAGAGCATCAATTTAATTGCATCCGGATTGATGCATTCAATGAAGGCATGAAATCAAATTGACCGTCAGAGTATATTGGATTTCCTAAAATAGGGGCACCCCCAAACCATCCATTTATAGATGGATGTTCCATGAAATAAACCGTCCAGCCATTGGGGTACCATGACTATGAAAACCCCCATATGATGACAACATTTTCCTGATGGCGAGCTAAGCTGATGTGAGCATAACACCCCATGCATTGATGGTGGATTACCCTCTGGTATTATTATTTTATCTTTTAATAGCTATGGAAAATGGCCCGATATTTAAAGATACTTTGACAAACAGCACATGTTGATTTTTCTTTGTGATTTATCTCAACATATCTCCGCTACATTATATGGCAATGCTATATCTATCAATTATATTCAATTATGTATATCCATCATTCTCAACATCTCACCTCTCCCAACACCCAACATCCCAAACAACACCTGCTGTGATTTTCCATGGATTTTCTCGTCGTAGGCCATGGCCTTCTGACCGGCCAGACAAGTTACCCTCTGGTAAACTAACATAACTATGGAAAATCACCATTTTTAATGGGAAAATCCACTATAAATAGCCATTTTCAATAGCTATGTTAAATTACCAGAGGGTAAAGCGAGGTTCCGGCACTATCCCTTGCGGATTCTGATTGGCAACGGTGGCTTCGACGAGGGCGCCAGCGACACGGCCCCGCGGCTACTGAATGCTACTGATCGCTGAAAAAACCACGGTCTCCCCTTGATGTCTCCCCTTGATTTTGTTGAACATGCTTTGTTTGGAATCTGATACATTTTGTTGAACATGCTTTGTTTGGAATCTGATACATCGATCTCTGTTTATCTATGTTTATATCTATGTTTATCTTTCGAGAATTGAGAAAGATGAGATAAACATAGATAAGCAATTCTCGACCATTTCCAACTTCGAGGTCATATTCACCTCAGCCTGTGCCGTTGTTCGTCAGTGAACTCTTTGGAGTTTCCGAGGTCAGCTTCGGGCACCTGAGGGAGGTTCCCTACAAAGATGGCCACTTGGCATCGTCAATGCCGGGGATGGGGATACTATGGGATGAAAAATCAGATGGATACATACTTATTACATATACTTATACCATCTTATACCTGGCTTGAAAAGGTGGGATCAAATTCCTCAATTTTTATGTGGGATTCCTTTCGTGAGCGCTGTGAGTTCTTCACATGTCGCGAGCCGATCAGATGGAACTGGGAATCCACGAAGGATTCACTCAGTACTCAGGAGATCAGGAAATCATTCGTACTTAGAATAGAATCCATAAAATCAATGCCAGGTAATCATTGATCATTTTGATATTTGTAGATGTTTTTAGCATATATTTTCGCATTTCCTTCCAATCTTTCCGTATTTTCTGACGTCCTACGTGGGACCCACGATGGGTCCCACGCTGATCGGCTTTTCGGGCGCGTTGAGGTGATCAGGAACGCGTGAAGCTGCACTTCGACATCTACGACACCTGCATTTCAGACGACTGGCATTGTCCCCTCATAGGCGGTTTTAACGGTAGCCGGTTGCCGGTTACCTAAAACGGGTTGGCCAAAAATGAGTTCTTCATGGTGACACTATGGAAATGATGATAGAATGATGATATATGATGATATAATGATGATGGCAGCCCATTACTGTACCAATTTTTCAGCATGTAATTCTTCCAGTGTCAGTTAATGAATTTGATGGTGGCTGAAGGGATTAGCCACAATCGGTTGGTAGCCAAGTTTATCTTGAAATCCAACCATCCAGTTCACCCAACCATCCGAGATATGGATGACTTTTCCGCCAGGTTTGACGGGCCCCTACTGCTGGGACAAATGTCAAGCAATGCCCGGTGGCATCGATGGTGGGGGTGGGCCCCGCAAGGCAACCACAGGAGCCATGGATTTCTGGGGCCTGTTTCATTGTTTTCATTGTTTCTGATGAATATATGTATAATATTAGTATATATATATATGTTATAATAGTAAGAACAATAATAATAATAGTAATAATAATAGTAATTTTAATAATGATAATAATGATAATAATAATAATGATAATAATAATGATAATGATAATAATAATATTTATTATACACATATCACTGCATTTTGCATTCATATCACATATTTACTCAACATATCTACTTGATTCCTTGCCTGCCAGGCGAGGGTATTTAAATTTCAACAGGTGCAACTTCTTCTTCTTTTTCTTTTTTTCTCGCCTTCTTCTTCTTCTTCTTTTTCCGCCTAGTCTTCCTCCTAGTCCTGTATTTTTTTTTTCTCCTGGTGCGCTCTTCTTGCAGCTCGTTGTGACTGTGTGATTCAATTGTTGTTCAATTGTTGTGTGCCATATCGCGAGCTCTGGATGCAGTGGGCCACGCCTGGACCCGAACACATGCCAGACAGGCCAGATAGAATGCCAGACAGAATGCCAACATACATGTCAGATCATGTCAGATAGAATGCCAGAAAGAATGTCAGAAAGAATGTCAGAATAGATGCCAGATAGAATACCAGAATGAATGTCAGAATGTATACATATATTACATGCGAAAGGGAACTAGACCATACAGTCACTCAACATGCTGAGCATGTAGGGTAGGAAACAAGTATGCATGTACCGCCAATTACTTTGGCTCAAGATCATGCGTGAGGAAAAAGATCGGTCTCCGAGTGCCATGCCGTGACGTTGCCCAGCATTACCAGCACAACGGGTATTTCAATCAAAAGGGATAATCCAGAACAAGGATTAAATTGTTCACAGGTTATCAGCCGTAAGGGCTCACTTCTTCCGTCGGAAGAGGAGTACCTGCGTGCTGGTGGCCGGGCCGTCAGAGCTTAAGATTGTGGACGCAAAGGACCAATCAGCTCATCATCGCAAAGATGCAGGGCGGCAGCGGGGACTCGCGCAACACGCAGTTTACCTTCAATGAGAACACTGCTATGCCGGTCGAGGAGGTCACCCAATCTTCCCCTGGCGACACGGCAGACAGTGGTGGGATACGCTCTACCCGAACTACACAGTCCGGATGGCAAGCTACATCAAACAGACGAAGAATATCCACCCAAAGTACACCAAGATCTTCTCGAAACAGTGCTCGAAGTGATGTTGTCCGCCAAGGGCATCGACCATCTCGAGGACGAACTACCCCAAGGGACAGATCCACCAGGGCCGGAACCGACCGAATTGGTGAGAGGACCGGGGACACTCGCGTTAAGAGGAGATCAACGGATACTTCTGTGGCTAGTGAACCTATTGCCATGATAGAAGAACTACGGGCACAATGTCAATCCTTACGTAATCAGTTGAACAACATGGAAGCATATGCTGCATCAAGAGATCAACTGATTCATGACATCGAGATCAGATTCACTGAATATCTTCAGGAACACAACCAGAATGTGTTTGATGAGGTCAATGCACTCAATCATAGATTGTCATGTTCCGCAAATGAGGTTGCAGAGTATCAAGCAGAACTAATGGTAGCATCTCAGGAAGACGAAGGTGCAACAATACGCATCCAAGACCTTGAACGCCGAGGTGCCCTGATGGAACACGGTGCAAGACGGATCCATCAACGTGGTATGGAGATCCAGGAAGAGTACAAGGATGAAGTACATCACCTTCAAGGACTATTGGGTAATACGGAGGCAAGACTGCAACAACTTCATCAGACCAATGTCTTAACTACCGATATTGCCAACCGATTGTACACTGAAGGTCAAGAGATGCAGACGGATTTCCAGAACTCAATCATGGAATATCGTAATCGATCCGAAATGGCATCCTTCTCGAGCAATCAACTTGAAATGATTAGCCAACAACAATCAATTGCAGTTCATGAATTGTCTGAACGGAATCAGCTATTGAGTGAAGCTCTAGTTCAGTCTCGTAAACAGGCCGAGTTGTATGAAAGCAGTATTGAGGAGATCACTAGAGAATCTAGAAAGAAGGTTTTCGAGGCAAATCAGGCCAAATTGGAAAGTGATCTGAAGCACCGAAACACTGAACATGATACTGTCAGAAGAATTGCATCATACAGGAACCACGAGGCCGAAGCGATATCACACCTGAGGCTTGAATCACAAGCTAGTGCAAATGCGATCGCAAGGGCAGAGCACTATGAAGAGCTCTACGCCAACGAGCAGGAGATGAACTGTGAGTTGAAGGATGAGATCAAATTGCAGAACGTGAAGTTGCGAAGATCATTAACTCAGGGCACTACGATCGACGGTCGTGGCCCTGATGAGATGCTTGTTGAGGATCTACGGAACCAAGCCAAAATCGCTCAAATCAGGGTTCAGGATCTAGACCATGAAGTTCATGAATGTTTACAGGAGAACATGTTGTTAAAAGAAAGATTGACTGAAGTTGCGGATGTAGGGGCGTCGTCCTTCTCCAATGCTGAAGTCCGAACTTTAAGATCTGAACTAGAAAGTGAGCGCCAAATGAAATTGGCTAGTGGTGTTCAGCAATATGAGAGATCATGCATGTTCATGGGGGAAATTCAGGATAGGGATGAAAAGATTGGTATCAAGAATTCTGAGATTATTGACATGAAACGTCACATAGATGAACTGAAAAAGAGTCTCAAGGATTCTGAAACATCTATGTCCAGGGTCAACCCTGATGCGCTTCCCTATTCGGCAGGTATCCCCAACTATGATCTCGCATCAAGACTGGTCATCGACAAACTGGAGAATGAGGTGAGTGAGGCTAACTCTGAGAACGCTATCCTAAAATCTTGGGTATCGCAGATCGACAAGGAGTTGACCTATGAGACAAATGCTGCTCAATCCTATCGCGGACATGCTGGATCTTCTCAACAGCAACCTTCTCAATCAAACAAAAGAATCACCGATCTGCTGAAAGAAGTTGACAACAAGATCGCCGATGGAACTGAGAAGGACTATTACAAGCCTCTGAGCGGATGGGGCGGTCCGCCTGACCCTGATGGGCCTCCTGATCCTTTCGGGCCCAACGGTCCAGGACAACCTCCAGAACCTCCTGGTTTGCCTTCAGTTCGGGGATCACAACGAGATTCAGCAGATGATATCTCCACCGCGGCGTACACGGCAGAGGAAGTACCGAGAATGTCGAGACGGGAGGCTGACAAGGTCTATGTTAGCCCATGGCCGAAGCAACAGAACCTTGGGGTTTGGCAGTCAGATCTCATCAAGGGTGTTGTTCTCGCCGCGAATGATGGAGACAAAGCTGCATGGGAAGCATGGTTACAGCCGGCTATTCGGCCAAATCCTGACATCGAGCTACTGAATGACAGTGGTGGGCAACGCTATCAGTCAATCGACGCCAAGTTGTCAATCGCATTGTCGAACGTGATAGCCCAAGCCGGTGATGTTGCTCGTCATGTAGCAATAAAACTGAGATTGAGAACACAGAGTCATAGTCGGAGAGGGACCTATGTTATGGGACGAGAAATTTTGGCTATGATCCTGGAACACTTCAGGACACCAGGTCCACGAGAGACGGCCTTCACCATGGAGCACATCGTATCGATGAAGTACCTCGGTGACTCCAACCTGGAAGTGTTCTACGAGAAGTGGATGGAGATGGTGTCAAATATGATGCCGGATGATGTACCTCCTGATGATTGGCTTCGTGACGCTCTATACAAGAAGATTCGAAATTCGAGTCTCATGATGTTCGACATCAAGCAGTACGAATCATGGATTGAAGGAGATCAAAGACGAAGCTATCGTTACCTGTTGGACGTCATCGAAAGGCACATATCCAGGATCAGAGAAGACAAGCATGTGGCCGCTAGAGAGAAGTACGCAAGAGACTTTGCAGGTGGTGGCAAACCCACTACTCCTGCACCGAATCCAACTGCTGCTGCACCAGATGCCAATCCGAAGGCGAAGGCTAAAGCCACTCCCAAGGAGAAGGCAGCACCTAAGGCGAAGGCCAAGGCTGAGGCAGCTCCAGTTCTACCATCACCTCAACCAAAACAGCATGCAAAAGGAAAAGGGAAAGGTCAAGGGAAAGGAAACGGGCGACCAAATAGCCGAAGTGCTAGTCCTAGATCCAAGAAGAAGATCCCATGCCACTTCCATTTCATCAAGAAAGCATGCAGAAAAGGCAAAGATTGTGAATACAGTCACGACCAAAAGGTGTTTGATGCGAACAAGAACACGAAAGGTAATGGTCGAAAGCCAGGAACTCCGAGAAGTCAATCTCCAGCGAACAAGACCAAGAAGATTGATGAACCATGCTGGCACTGGGCCAAGGGCAAGTGCCGATACGGAGACAAATGCAACAAACGTCACGATCCTCATCTATTCAACACTGCTCCGAACACTGAAGCATCAAGCTCAAAGGCTACTCCTGCACTTGTCCATGAATGGAGTGATGACGAAGGGTCATTCCACAAGGTTGCATCGAATGTCGTCAAGAAGAAGGTCAGATTTGATGAGTCCAAGACTTGCATCCAAACGTACGTGAAGAAGGACTTCGTGAAGTGCAGCCGGAAATCCCAGACCATCCCCAAAGGTCATGGTAAAGTTGGCAAGCCCACCGATCAGATAAGGCAAGATGAGCAATGGTCTTATTCATGCAGACTAGCATCGAGCCGAGGGAAGGCAATGGCTATCCTGATCGATGAGAAGGGTGAGTACAGTGATATTGATGAAGTCCTAGTCATCGTCGGCCCCAGTCTGGACATTCTAATCAGATTCGACATCGAGGACGGTGAGGTATCCAGGGAGGTCTTCGTGGAGAACTACGTTCAGCATGTCGAGGGTCGATATGGCAAAAGGGGTAACACGATGTGTATCACTGTTCCTGTTGAAGAAAGAGATAAGAGATTCATATTGGATTCTGGAAGTGGTCATGATCTTATCTCATCAACACGAATAAGTAGAATGGATCTCCCAACATATGATGATAAAGTCGTCAACTTCCATACAGCAAACGGGGTAACATGTTCGACCAAACGATCAAGTATCAAATTCGAGGCATTCAACGAACCAGCAGAAGCTCACATCCTGGAAGACACGCCTTCCGTAATCTCCATGGGCAAGCGGTGCGTTGACCTTGGCTATTCGTTCGTATGGCCGACTGGGAAAACTCCTTTCATGCTAGATCCCAGTGGCAACATCATCGAAATGACTGTCAGAGACTACATTCCTTATGTGAGTGTAGATCAAGAGAAGAGAAAGCTAAAATCATCCTGTGTGGAAAAGATCATGGCAGTTCTTGATGATGGGTGCTCAACGTCAGAAGGCGAAAGTCTTTTGGTTATTGACGGAGAGAGCGGGGACGAGCTTGAGGATCTTTCCGACGCCGTTGGACGATCCGATGGTGAATCTCCCAAGAAATCAATAAAGAAACGTAAGAAAGCTAAGTTGAGAGGTGATCAACATGAAGTAGCTGTTGGAAGTGATGCAGGTGATGCTGAGGAAATGTCGTGCTATGCCGATGACTATGCCGAGTTTGAAGATGACGGGTACGATCCCAGCATTACACCGGACGATATTCATGAAGATCATCAAGTTGAAGTTGAAGAGATTCCTGAAGATGGAGGAGGTGAAGATGACGATGATGTCATTGATGTTGATGAGGAAGATGGAGGAGTCCGATTGAGTAAGAGGGGAACTTTGAAGAATGAGGCAAGATCAAAGGTTCATCTTCTAACTCATCGCTATAAGAACCCATACTGTGAGTCGTGCGTGCGTGCCAAGATGAAACACAGGAAGACGTTCAGAGGAGCGTTTCAGCGTAAGCTCACGAAGTTTGGGGACCTGGTCACATTCGACTACGTTGCCCAAGAGACTGGCTAAGACAAAAATTTGTCTAATAGTCAGATTTTTAAAATTTGTCTAATAGACAAATTTTAAAAATTTGTCTTAGACAAATTTTTGCTCGACAAATTTGTCTAAGACACGAGTCTTAGACAAATAAATTTGTCTAAGTCAGATTTTTTGCCCACCCTCCACGAGGAAGTTTCGAGGAAATTTCCTTGAAACTTCCTCGTGTGTTTTGTGAAACTGCCTTCAAACTACCTCATGTTTTAAAGGGAAACTTCCTCACTTTTTTGGTGATTTTTGGGGAAACTGCCTCACTATTTCTCTTACTTTTTGATACTTTTTGCACACCCTCCACAAAATGATGGAAAAATGATAAGGTAGTTTGGAGGCAGTTTGGGAGGCAGTTTGGAGGCAGTTTGAAGAAAATCTGAGGCAGTTTCAATTTGTCTAAGACAAAAAAAATTGTCTAAGACAAATATTTTTTGTCTAAGACAACTTTTTTTTTTGGCTAAGACAAATTTTCAAAATTTGTCTTAGACAAAAAAAAAGTTGTCTTAGACAAAAAAAATCTACCTAATAGTCAGATTTCTACAGAATAGGGATTAGACAAATTTTTGTCTTAGCCAGTCTATTGGGTGACAATCGTCGTATTGCTGAACAGGACTATGGCGACGACAAAACCATCTTTGTCATCAGGGATAGATTTACGGGGATGCTTCAATCTTACCCTTCTGCTAGGAAGGATACTGACGCAGTCATCCGGGCGGTCAAACAATTCATGGGCCGTCGCAAGATCAGGGAAGCATACTCCGATGATGCCCCGCAGTTCGACAAGGCCATGAAGATCCTGAAGATCCCAATGGACACATCATTGGCCGGAAAGACAAAGCACAACTCACTTGCAGAAAGAACTAACCAGTTTGTGCTCGTGGCAACCACGACATGCCTACTTGAAGCAGGGATTCCACCGTGCTTTTGGATGTACGCTATCAGATGCGTAAGCCACCTGCTCAACATCGAGCCCAACGATGATGAGGTAAGTTCTTGGTGCAAACTTCATGGAGAAGAATTCAAAGGGAAGATGATACCTTTTGGTGCCCTCGTGTACTTCAAGCCCAGTGGTTCACGTGAACGAGAACAACAACACAAGTTTGACCCCATGGGAATTCCCGGAGTGTTCGCTGGATACTCCATCGGTCCCGGGCTCCATTGGTCGAGAAAGTACAGGGTATGGGCATTATGTGATTGGAGTAAACAGAACTTGGCTTATGACGCTGAGAAACCCATCGCCAAATTGAGGACTCCGCACTACACCGAAAGGGTAGAATTAAAAGAACCTCTTGAATTCCCATGTAAGTCAGAGTATGAAAGGATTAATGTTTCCATTGAGGGATTAAAAGTAAAAGATCGTCTTGAAGGAAACCCAGAAATCCTACCGCCACCTCCTCCGGATGATGGTGATGACGATGAAGATGGAGGTGATGACGATGGTCATGGTGGTGGTGGTGTACCTTCGTCGAGGGTCCCACAAGAAAAGACTGAAGGAGAGTTGGAAGCTGAAAGACACTTTGATGAAATATCTGAAAGAATGGGACCACCGGGTATCGACAAGCCCGCACATCCAGACCTTCATGTTCCAAAAGGAGGGCCAGAACATTACTCCGTTGGAAAGGCCGGGGATGGGGTTGTATACCTGAATGACGACGGTGAATGGGTGAAGCTCAATGCTCGCGGTCATCCATATCGTATTGATGAACGTGGTTTTCGCAGAATATCAACTACTCCTAGGCCATCAAAATATACCCCTGACGAGTGGAGGAAAATGTCGCCGACCGTCAGAAAGGGCATCGCCAAGGCCGAAGAGAAGAAGGCTGAAGCTGAAGAAGAAAAGAAGAAGAGCGAGGCGAAAATCAAGGAGAGTGAAGAGCGAGCAAAGAGAGAAGAAGAAAAGAAGAAAGAAAAAGAAGCTAAGAAAGCCAAATCTTCCAAGAAAGACGACAAAGACGATCATGTTTCTGGAGTAGCCATGTCCCAAGACTACGTCCGAAGGGGCAAAGTTTTTCAATATGGTAAAGGGTCCACTTCTCTCGTCGGGAGAGGGATTCCTGCCATTGCTCCATGCAATTCTGATCTATCAGACACTGACGTACCTGATGATGATGACTTCTTGATGGAGTGGGACGAATGGTCTGAGATCGAGAATGGCAAGGGGCCGAAGGCTACTTGGAACAACGACAAAGTGTATGACTTCAACCAGGGGAAAGTGGTGGCTGCTGCGACCTTGCACAACGCCGACGAAGTACCCCAAGACGCTCGTGGCCTCAGTGATGTTTTCCATCCCTTTCCATGCATGCCATGCATTAATCATTGTGATGATCATCGAGAAATAGTATCAAATGGTGATGGAATCAATATCAACAAGATGTTCAACACTGCAGTTGCAAGGCCTGTTGGTCGAAAGGAAATGATGGAAAACGATGAAGCACGTAAGGCCATGAGGAAGGAATGGTTAGGTCAACATGCTGCTGGAGTCTATGATTTCAGTGTTATAAGGGAATATGATGACGTTGTTCGAGAAGCAAAAGCAAACAAGACAGAGGTTCACATGGCCAGAGTACATGGAATTTGTGTTGAGAAAAACTACCAGTTGCCTGCGGGAAGCCCTAGTAGAAAGTTCAAAGGCCGTGGTGTCTTACTTGGTAATCAGGTGAAGAACCAATTCTGGGAGGCTGCTTTCTTCCAGGACTTGTGCAATTCTCCAGCTACTTTTGAGGCATCGAGATGGGCTGATTTCTATGGGTGTCTTCCGGGCCATAATGTAAAACTTGCCGACGCTATTCAAGCATACATTCAGGCAAAACTAACCGGACCACCATGTTGGGTTGAGCTACCCGAAGATGCTTGGCCAGACGATGTCGATATTCGAAAACTCCGTAGGCCAGTTGTAAGATTGGTTAAAGCTTTGTATGGCCACCCCGATTCGGGAACAATGTGGGAACAACATTGTGATCGGAAAGTTCGAGAACTCGACTTCGTTCCTGTTGGAGAAGAATGGCCTTCTATGTATTTTCATAAGAAACTGAAGTTACTTCTTGTCATCTATGTAGATGACTTAAAGCTGGCAGGACCGGAAGAGAACCTGACTAAGGGTTGGGAGATGCTCAGATCGAAACTCAACATCGAGCCCGAGACTGACTTGGGGCTCTACCTTGGTTGTGTTTTGAGAAAGGGATCTACCAAACTTCATGATGGTACCCCGGTATCAACCATGACCTATGACATGGAAGGTTTGTTGAAACTGTCGGTTGAGAAGTACTTGGACATCGTTGGAAAAGATACGAAGCTGAAACACGTATCCACTCCAAGTTTACCTGAAGAAACAAAGAAACATAAGTCGAGAGCACCATGTCCCGGGAACCCCAAGAATAAGAAAGTATGTCCATGGTGTACTCATGAATTTGATCCGGACGCTCCATTGTTTTATGAACAAGGAACCCAAGGGGAAGACGTCTCGCCTGGGGAGTCTGAGAGAGGTGCATTAGCGCCACACGCTGCCAGCGTGTTGATGAAGCTGCTGTACGCGGCGAGGATTGCTCGTTTCGATCTGCTTCGTTCCATTAATTCCCTGGCCAGGAATGTAACAAAGTGGACCATTGATGACGATGCAAAGTTGTATCACTTGATGTGCTACGTGAATTCCAGCCTATCTAAAAGAATGACCGGATGGGTTGGGGACAACTTCAATGAGTTGACATTGTCTTTATTTGCTGATGCTGATTTTGCAGGGTGTGCCCAGTCTTTGAGATCTACTTCAGGGTCTCATATGCATATTCAGGGTAACCACACACGGTTTCCTTTGTCCGGGGGCAGCAAACGGCAAGGATGCGTAAGCCATTCAACGCCTGAGGCTGAAATCGTGGCAGCCTATGTCACCCTCCGTACTATGGGTTTGCCCGCTATGAGCATTTGGGAAACGCTGACGGGAAAGTCGCCCAAATTATTGTTCCATGATGACAATCAGGGCATGATAGGTGTAGTCAGGTCGGGTCGTAACCCCACTATGCGGCATCTTGAGAGGACCCATGGCATAGCCATTACCTCCCTCCATGAACATTTTACTCGGGAGAACTACGTACTCATGTATGAGGTGACCTCGAAAATGGCCGCTGACATTCACACCAAAGGTTTCAAGAATCCGTTGGCATGGAAAAGAGCATGTATGCTCATCAATCTATTGGACCCTGGTGACATCGGTACGAAGGATCTGCTCGATATGGTCTCACCCACCACGGATGTCGATACCACTGTCCGACAAGTGTTTCAAACCAAAACTCAAGATGTTCCAAATTTTCCATATACCGAAATACCTATTCTACCACCTGAGGTGTATCAGAAGGGTCTTTCTGGTAAAGAGCAAGTACAACAACTACCTGGCATGGATCCCATACTGGTTGTTAAGACGCCAACCTTCTTTAGAAAACGACCACCTGGTGTATCATTGCCCCATGACTGTTTGAGAAGTACCTGGATACTTTCTCATGGCAAATGGATCAAGGTTGAGGATCGAGTTCCACCCGTTCAGCAACAAGACCGTTTCGATCAATGGGTAGAACGAGCTTGTTTCCAATACCATCCGTGTCAACCTAGTATATCGCCGTCGGTGATTACTAGGCAATCAGCCGGCATTGTATCACCGGGACACCCGGCGTCAACAGCGCGACAAGGGCTCCATGCTGCCGCGGTGCCGACTCGTCAGACTCCAGTCCTGAAGTATCCTCAGTTAACTGTGGGGGTGGGTCAACTATTTTGTCATCAATCCCATGGAAATGAACCCACAACCATTCATGCAGCTCCTTGTGGTACTGCTCGGGTGATCAACACGCTTCTTCGAGTTGTTCATGGGGGGAGTTCTGGATGGGGTAGTCTTCCAATGGGATTTCCTCCGTCGGGGGACCCCAATGATGATCCATATCCTACAGAAAACAAAGATCCCAATCGACGACGAATTATCTTTGCCGGTGGTGATGAAATTGCTGGTAGAGTGTCAAGGGACAAAGCTTATAACCCCATGACTTCGTCAAGGAAAGGAAAGAAGATATCTAAAAGCGAATGCGATCAGGATAAATGGGTATGGAAGGATGAAACTACATTGACGAGAGTGCACAAGGTACCGAGAAGAAAGATGTTTACCCCCAAAGAGGCTGACTTTCTACCATGTAAGCTGAGACGGTTTAGAGATGGACGGGAAACCAACCAAGTGTTTCAGTCAAGTGGGAGGTTAATCCACGACTCATGGAGATTGGCGGGGAATAACATCGAGAAGACCAATAAAAGAAATGAATTCTGGACGGGGACCACTACCTTCAAGATCATATCCAACGCAGACATCAAAGATGTGATGGACAGCGGGTCTGATGTGGAGGACAGGGCATCGTGCCAGGACACTGTGGTCACCTGTATCCTTGATGGAAACATGAAAATCATTCCTTTGGAGGACATGTTTATAGCCCATCATTACAAGCTGAAGCATGAGACCAGAAAACAAAATAATTGGGATATTCAGATGACACTCCACCGAAAGAATGGGAAGACTCTGACGTACCATTTCAAGCAGTCTTATGCTGATTTTCTCGGAAAAGTACTCGATGACATTGTCATATCACTCAACCTCTATGAGATGAAAGATGATGTCCCATGTTTGCTCCTCATGTGTGCTGAAACGCAAAGTATCATCACGAGGATTCACAGACAAAGTCGGTTCAAGATGATGCATGTGGTCACAATTACCGAAGATGACAACCTGATGTCCAACTATGGAAGGGCGAAATGGAGACGTTGCATCAGGGGTCCTAGTGACTGCGTGTTCTTTGCGGGACCTTGCACCGGTGGTTCACCGTGGAATCGTTTGAACAAAAACGTGAGTGAGGTCACAGCACACAACATCAGAATGAAAGCGTTTCTGTATTGGGAGTTATGGGAAGAGTTCACATTGTGTCTGCAACGTGTACATGTCTTGCATGCTATGGCATTGTTGGAACTACCTCGGGGATGCGACTATTGGAATGATGAGAGAATGAAGTTTCTGATTAGTGGGACCCAATCAACTGTGCATGATTTTGACGGATGCATGTATGGTTTGACATCAAAATTCAAAGATGTTGGGACCGCCATCAAGAAACCATGGAGAATCGTATCGTGGGGGGTCGAATTCTTTGACCTGCATGCAAAATGTGATGGCTCACACACTCACGGTCAATGTGCGGGTAGAGAAACACGTGCAACACAACTATATACCGAGAAGATTGTCAGATGTATTCTTCGGGGTGTCACGAATCAAATGTTGATCAACAACGCTTATGGAAGGAGATGTCGACCAAAGGTATTGGATGAGGTGGACCACCATAAGTCGAAGTCATGTGCTTGTGTCATTGTGAACGACTATGAATGCGACGTTAATGAGAAGACCATCAATGAACAACTATTCATTAACTTCATCACTCAACGAGGGGGTGTGAAGGTGAAGCTGAGGCTGTATCCACGTCGTGGATCGCTATTGGCGGATCCGGATCCCGTTAGAGGTAGATTGAAGGTGAAGTTAGGCTGCTACCTGCGTCGTAGGTGCGCCTTAACGGATCCGGATTCTCCTTGCCTCATCTCGGTCTTCGCAATGGCTGGAGCCGACCTCGTGATCCCGTCAGCGGCCAAAGGTATTGGCTCACTGAAATCAACTTTATCCCTCATCAAGGAGAAGAGCCAAGAGCATAACCTTCCCGCTCCATTCTCCACCTACGAGGAGACAAACTTCAGGGGTTGCAGGGACAAGGACATTGACGAATGGTTGAATCGAGTGAAGATTTCTCCTCCCGTCGTTGTGGCCTTAGCCTTTGTCATGGATAGAAGTGG